GGGGGGGGGGGGGCTGCCTTCGGCAACCCCATGTCGGGGCTTACACATGGTAAAGGGGCTAGCTACGCGCCTGTCGGGCGTCTCTCCTTTGTAATCTTCAAAGGAAAGATATCAGCCTAGCGATTGGTCCTTTTTTTGATACCTGAGACCTCTTCGTGCCTTCAATTTTGCTATGATATATTCCAGGGGTGTAGAGAGCGAAAGTGAGCGTAACTCCTGGATATCGAGGATGCATTTTCATAGGTTATATATGTAAGATTGATGCGTTCTTAACCCTTTTTTTCTCTTATTTGTTTGATTGAGTCATGAAAACAGTAAATGTAACTTGGGATAACTTTTGACCAATCTTAACTTTCAAAGCGATGTTTTCGTTTGGCCTAGTAACCAGCATACTAACAGTTACTTACTTTGTAATATTTAAGAGGAGCCTACGTTTAAATTTGTCCAGTGGTTCTTAAGAAATAGTGATAACAAACTGGAACTTTCACATAATTCAAGATCATTGTCTGGAAGTCATCCTTTTTGAGTCTCAAAATGAAACATCAAAACAACGGACCAAAAAGAACCTTAATATCGAAAGATCCCTCAAGTTCTTTTTGAGAAATAGCGATAAAAATCATACTGTAACTTTTGAAATTCAGTCCAAAAAAAATCAACATGCATATAACCAAGGGGAACCTACGTTTGGAAGGATCCTTTCAGTACTTGCTGAGAAAGAGCGGTAATACATTTTAACTTTCAATATTTAAGATGGCTGCCTGGCTTGATTTTCCGACCACCCAGTCCCAAAATTCAATCTTCACAATTCACCATTGGACCAAAATATAAAGGTTGAGAAAGATCCCTCCAATTTTTTCTGAAAAATTGCGCTAACACAACTTTCGCTCTCGAGTTTAAAGATGACCGCTAGTCAGCCATCTTTGTTTTCCAGTCACCTAAAGATTCATTATGCACAGCTAGGGGGCAGGGAGCCTACATGTGAAATCTGAGAAAAATCTCTTCCGCACTTTCTGAGAGAAAGCGCTAACAAGAATCGTTTAAGAACGGACGACGAATCACGGAAGAATGTCGATTTGAAAAATCCACCATCTGATGATGGTGTGTAAAAATAGACAATTCTCTTTAGTTTGAGATTAAAACAAGAGGCCCAGAGGGCATGTATCGCGCACCTGTTTCTTTTGTTACATGAAACTGACATATAGGTAACTTCAGATCAAGTTTGGTAACTATTACACAAGACATTTTAACATCTCTTAAACGCTTCTAAAGATATTGTTGTTTGAAATCTCAAATTTTGATTTTAAAGCTTTTAACCCTAGTTTACATTTGACCCACGACTAGCACTTTCAGGTGACATTTGACCTCATTACTGTAATTAAGAAAAATATTCACAGCTGGTCTTCATAACATACCCAGGTACATGTATCATGACTAGACCAAATGCTTCTTTTGATATTGTTGTTTGAAGTTTTTAACATATATGACTTATGTGACCTTGAAAATAGGTCAAGGTCATTTTAAAGAGGAAACAGTATAGCACACAATCCCTGGTGCCTACCGACCAAATATCATGACCTACGGCCTTATGGAACTTGAGAAGGAGATTGTTAAAGCTTTTAACCCATGTTCACCTTTGACCCACGACTAGCACTGTCAGGTGACATTTTACCTCATTACTGTAATAAAGAATAAGAATAACACTGCTGGTCTACATAACCTACTCAAGTATCATGACTAGTTCAAATGGTTCTTAGGATATTGTTGTTTGAAGTTATTAACATATTTGATCCCTGTGACCTTGAAAGTAGGTCAAGGTTACTTTAATGAGGAAACTTTATAGCACTCCATCCAAGGTACCTTCAGGCCAAATATCATGACCCTGGGCTTTATGGAACTTGAGAAGAAGATTGTTAAAGCTTTTAACCCATGTTGACCTTTGAACCCCGACTAGCACTTAAAGTTGACCTTTGACCTCATTACTGTAATAAAAAAAGATTTGCACTGCTGGTCTACATAACATACTCAAGTATCATGACTAGTCCAAAAGGTTCTTAGGATATTGTTGTTTGGAGTTTTTAACATAGTTGACCCCTGTAACCTTGAAAGTAGGTCAAGGTTATTCTAATGAGGAAACTTTATAGCACTCCATCCCAGGTACCTACTGGCCAAATATCATGACCCTAGGTCATCCAGTTCTTCAGAAGAAGTCTTTAAAAAGAAAAAGTTGACGGACGGATGACGGACGAGACAGACGACGGACGGCTCAGTACGGCATAAGCTAAAAATGAGTTTCGCTAGTATGACAAGACTTCAAAAGATTTCAAAATTCATTAAAAACTGTAAAAATACATGAAATACAGAGTGATTTTTTTTGAATTATTTTTTAATATATTAAGTATTCATTTTATGTTGCCTTTGGTATCTTCTAAATATTACCAACTTTAACAAGACTTTTATAAAATGCGTCGCTACAACAAATCAATGTATATATTTACATTGGGTGTACTATTTTTGGTGGACAAAAATATCATATAAAAAAAAAATATCCGGATTCCGGAATTTTGCCAGGTGCGACTTGTTTTGGCAATTAGTATTACCTATGCGGCTGTAGCAACGCAAAATGGCGGTTGCGGTGGATCTGTCAAAGCACACCGACTGTGTCGAATTTGTAGGCTCTTCAGAAGAAGATATCAACTATGCAAAGACATTTTGGCAGTCTGTACAATTAGAACCACCAGCAGAATCCCGTCTCGTATCCAGTGACATAAAACAACGTCTCAAAGTAGCTCCATCAGGAACCCACGGTACTGTAACGTCATAGCAGACCGAAACAACCATCTCCTTTTTATTAATTTGGAAAATATAGACTAAGACCCATACAGATTCAGAGGAAGGAGTCATTTATTTCGGACTTACTTCATCAAACCTCAGTTACCAATAATAATATAAATATTACCAATAGTGTACGTACTTGTAGGTAAATGTGTTTACAATTTTTAAAATAGGCCTAATGTGAAATTGTGTGCCCACCTGCTTTATTTATTTGTCAGCTATTTAGCCTCGTAGAGCAATTTTAGGACTTATGAACTAAAGTGAGGAATATCTTTTTAGAATTGTGCATTTAAAACTGGGCATTTCCAACTGTGATATCCATATAATGATACCTTTTACCTGTGAATAATTATGTATAATTAAACGGGGTGATTATTTTTGCTCAGTTTTAACACCGAATAGCCTAACATAGAGGTTCCTCAACGAGTGATGGTTGGTTATCATGTTTATCTTACTGGAGTTAGTTAATCTCCAAATTGTATAAAGACACGAGGTTTACCGGGTGTCTTTTACAATTTAAATATCAACTAAGTAGAATACCTGAGAAAACCCACATGGTCTGGCAGGTGACCCCATACCCTATCACATCCAATCAGGGAATCGGATTGGTGAAAGGCAAGTGCGCTATCCACTGCACCGCCCGGACAGAGGTCAGAGGAAGGGCTTATTAAAGGACGTTAAAATAGCATTAATTGGAATTCAACATAACATAACAGACATGGGTGGGACTATTACCACAATACATGGGCTTATTATGACAAATAAGTAAGGTACATGTACGGTCTGGAGATAAAGGTTCAGACATTTAAGTTTAAAAATTTACTCTGCAGCTACTCTTCATATTGACTCTCATTGGTTCTTTTCTTCATTACAGGTCTGACATATGCCCACAATATCCCAGAAGAAAAACCAGGTATGGAAAACAGTTATTAGCTGTGATGTACAGTAATAAATTAGAGTTGATGATGTTAATTGTGTACCATTTGTGTGCATTCTTACCAAAATGTAATGAAAATTCAGTTTGATTATACATGCAATTTTAAAAAGAATTATTAACATATATATTTACAACTGAAATTATCATAAGAATTCAATATTGTAGTTATTTTTATGTTGTATCAATTTCAGAATTACACGATTTCTTTGTGAGGGTGCGGACCCTGGAACAGTTGGAGCATTTTTCAAGAGTACAGAAATTTGCAGAGGCAAGAGAGGAAGACAGAACTATGATTGAGAAACGTAGAGCAGAACGAATAAAGGTATGGTATCAGTTATTAATTACATGTACACAAACTTGTACATTTCCAGATGGCGGATTGTCATGTACATTAAGTAGGTCACAGTGACCTATGGCTCAACCTTTGATTTTTTTTTGAGGCATATCTTCTAAACTAATTCACCTCAAGTCATACATGCCATATCTAATGATTTAAGCGTGAGACTCATGAAAAATGCTTCAGAAAAATTCCTTGCAGCGCAAGACACATTTCTCACGAATAGCAATCATCCTAACGAAAATAAACAGTTTGGTCAATCTTAGAAAATAAACAATAGCTACATGGATAAACACTGACCTTGTAAACGGAAATGTAAGTTGTGACTATAAAATTGAAACTGGACACCGACATTGAATCCAGAATTTATTCTCTCGCCGTCAGGTTTGGATCAAGTGTTTGTTTTTTTAAAATAACATAACACAAGAAAGCAAATTTCTTCACAATTGGATATATAAAAATAATGGCAGAAGTAGGTATTAGTTTATTTTGTTTCAACAAAGGAATATTAAATGTTCCCAATGTTTTGAGATATTTTTTTTTACCAAGAACTGTTGACCTCTCCAGAATTTTTATTTGTTTTAATTGTTTTTATGTTTTTGCCTATGATGGATGTATTGTGATATATTTACTTTTAAATGTCGATAGCAATATCAGAACCGTCGGTCACAGGTAAACCTCCATAAAATCCTTTAAAATATCAAAAAATCTTCAATTTTGGTTCTAACAAAATATTGGAGGCTTCAATAATTTTTGTTTCAAATGTCTCACTAATTCAGAGAAAAAATCTCACTATTTTGGACCAAATCTCTATTTTTCACCAGAACGTTATGGCATGTATGTAGAGTAACCAGATTTGGTATGCAAGTACATCCAGGGACCGAGTGTCAAGTACAAAAAGTAGGTCACTGTGACTTATGCTTAACCTTTGCAAAATAAATGTTGAGACTTATCTTGGTACTAGTTCACCTGGAGTAACCAGATTTGGCATGCAAGTATGTCTTGGCTGTCAGAGTGAAGAATTACAAGTATGACACTGGAACTATATCCCGAGATAGGTGTAAAGCTCATTAAATAAAGAAATCCTTACCGATGGGGTACAGCCTTGTTCAAAGATATTTCTTGTTTATATTACACAATAATTACAAAATTACAATTGCTTACATTTGGATATAGCTTGAAAAGTGAAAAGCCTTTTTAAATATATATATAATTTGGTTCTGTACTTTCAATGCAACCTCCTGAAGGGCAAGATACTTAATAGAAAAGTTTCAACAACAGTTCTGTCTGGCCCGTTTAACCTCTACTTATCTGTTATCATTACGAAGGTTGATACTGCCTTTCGTTTTATGGCAGCTTATTTAGGAAAAAATAAATTCTTCAATATCTGTGGCACAATGGTTGACAGTGGTGATTTGTCTACCCCCTCTATCCATCTAAGTTATGTTTTTGTTTGCAGAGGGAGAGTATTTCGCGAGATTTCATTGGACGTAAGCGGGAGGTACGTGAAGCCTATGTTGACAAGTCTGAAGAAGCAGACAACGGTGTGATAGATGAAGATCCTTCGGATGCGTTATTACAACTCGACGCCTTTGAAAAGTCAAAGTTTGGGGAACAAGATCCTGATTCAGACTAATACAATTTTCAGTACACAAAAACAATATGTTCAAGATTCATAATTGATATTCATCATTACCGAATGCAAGAATCGAGAGCAGTGAAAACGACAAGTGAGAAAAAGTGAATGTATGATAGGTGAACAATAAAATGTGATATAGTCCTGAACCTGATTTGTTTGTATGTTTATTGAAAACGAATCTGAATTCACTTCATGTCATTTGTGAAGTTGCATCTTTTATCACTATTTGTTTGTCTGGAGTGTTAACCAATGCAAATGTACACTGTTCCACAGAATTAACAGGTATCGGTGTATCTTAATGCTTGTAATGATGATAGGTCAAGAAACTGGGTAATTCAATTTAATTATGTTCATCTAGTAAAACCTAGTTATACTGACACCATTTGAAGATGTCGGACGTTCAGTTTCTGATCCTGCATATTTGGCAGATAGACTTTATAACATTAATACATGTATCACTGGTGTTTCATACTTCTTGAGTGAAAGTCTGAGAATATTTTCAATCAAGCGTACTACGTAGCATATATAGCTGGGCATGCATTCCTCTCATCAAATATTTTACTCCCAACAACAAAACCACAATAAAACAATTATATTTTTTATTAAGTAACAATTTCTGACATTTTTCCACAGGAAAAATGCATATATAATAACAGACAATATCAGTTTCAATGACAAAGACAGTCACCATCTTAGGGTGATTTCATTTCTTGATGGCATTAAGAATTGCAGATTGAAGTATAATTTTCCCTTGGATTCAACTTTCTTCAACTTGTAACAAAGGAAAACATGAGAAAGTAAACCTCTGCTCAGTTTGAACAAATTAGAGTATTGAAATTTTCATTATTATAAAGTTGTTATCACTTCAAACTTTCTAAAAAGAATCATGTTCAAATGGATTTGTAGCAATGAACAAATGGTACAATCGTTAATTTGTTCATTACCAGTTAAAAGGCAAGTCATCTTCTCTCTAAACATTGTGTACATAGTACATACATAGTTAAGTGAACAGATGAAAATTTATTTGTTGAATAAAAAAAGTGCTTAAACTGTTGATTTGAACTAACCTTCACACATTTTTTTTTTTTTTTTTTTTAGGAAAAACTTTTGGCTTCAGAAAATGTACTGGAATTTCAAAATATTACACGAAAATATTACAAAAAATGTTTAATTACATGTACAAGAATCTTAGCCTTTTTGTGTGTGTGTAAATCAAGGATGTTTACATAACATTATATTCCAATTTATCCATGAACCAATGAAAAATGTGATATCCAAAATAAAATCTGCTATATATTTCAACCTTCAATTGGTAAAGGAACTGTTTTCTAAATGTTGTTTTTACGGTATGAAGTAATAGATTACCTGGGTAAAACTCATTAAAATGTGTATACCAACACAATTTACATGTTTTACCACTTCTTAACTTGCACCAATGACCCTATGTAGAGAAAAAATGTATGATCAAATTACATTGTAGAAAATTACATTCATGTATTGATCTTCAAATAACAGAAGAAAAGACCTCAACTACACATCATTGATTGTTTTATACAAACATGAGAATTTTTTTGAAGGAAGCATGCCCTAATGGCCCTTTAGACTGGTCTAAGTATTAAAATTAGCTTGTACCATAGCATCCACACACACACACACACACTCACTAGCAAATACACATTCAGATCAACATTTGTTCATGACATAGGTGAAAATGCTTTAAAATGTTTACATCCAGATCAGACCATTAACAACCTTGTGAGAAAAACAACTAGTTTGATACCGGTCTCCAATGAAATCTGATGATTGTGGCCTACAATGAAATGTTGTTCATCTTTAAAACTTGAAAACTACACACTTGGTTAAAAAGAAGCATTAGAATTTTCTCAAATCCCACTTCAAGGATTCACTTTCATGTTCCATCTGTAGAACGAATTTTACTCAAGCACAAAATGAATAGTGATAAACTGTCTCCCTTCTTACACTCAACATACATCATGTTCATTGTCAAAACACACAGTTATTTACATCAGACACATACATCAGGTATTGTCAACACATACAGTGCTTACATCTTACTTTCAACACATCATGTATACCTTTATGAACTAACAAATACTGCCGATTACTTACATTTTTGTGTAAATTTTAGCATTAATCATCAATGAAAGTATCTACATATGAATAAGTTTTTATGCCTGTCATACATGAACACAAATCGATGTCCTTGTGAATATGGGTAGAATGGGGAATTTGCTAAATTAAATGCACATGAAATTGAAAGTGCTGCAGTATATGAATTCAGAATTTGGGGTATTTTAATTCACGACTGAAATTCAAAAATTTACACAAAAATATGCATCACTGTCGAATATTAGTGATTTATAGCATCTCTTGTTCCAGACTATCTGGAAATCACATCAACACACCGGTGTCCCAGTCCTTTCTCCTTCATAACCAGAGTGGTTATCTGAATGACTCGGGCCCAATGACTCACATCGCCAACCCTACCAGCACTTGGTGAGTCGATGTCCCTCATCACAATCAGTGGTAACGACTTCCTCAAAAGATGTGCGTGATGTTTTATTTTTACCTACAAAAGACCTGTCAGTGCTGTGGGGAGTCAAGGTCTTTGCCGATACCCATGGCCAGAATCTACCTGCTACTCGGTCTAGGAGATGTTAACATGTTTGTTAGTTTTTGTATTTCTGTACCAAGAAACATGAAATCCTGGAATCTTATGTAGTGTACAGGTGAACAGCCTCTGGCAGATGTCTTTGTACTGGTGTACTTGGCTGCATCACAGAGCCTGGAGTCTATGAACCTAAGAGAGGTTGAACTGTGTACATATTGGAGATACACATCTACTCCTAAGCTCGCACACCTCATCCCCTGTCCTTGGAAGTCATGTTCCATCCTGTTCTCATGGATATTCAGGAATTGTGACAGGTTATGGATTTTGCCCGATTCTTATATTAAAGTGTTCTTTTTATAAAAAAAAACCAACGAAATATTATGCACTCATCCTGAGAGATCGTTCGCATTAAACATGTCTGGATCATATTTCTCTGCAGTTACTATTCGTCCACCAAAAAACCTTCCATTTAATGCTTGACACGCCTTTTCCACTTCTGAAAAATACAGAAACAGTAGAAATTTTAATATGAATTATTGAAAGTAATCTATGAGTAAAATACATTTGAAATTTGAACATTTTTTTTTTATTCCAAATATTATGAAATTCAATTTAGTTTTTTAAACTGTTTCAGCTCAATTTTGTATCAATTAACTTCAATGTTACTCACCACTTTGATTTGAAAATTCCACGAATATTTTAACAATTATTTCTGCATCCTCCGCTTCACTCTGTTTTTCCTGGTAAATAATTACACGATTCACAACACCATATTTTCCACACTCGTCTGTAACCTCATTTTCGAGTTCATCATCCAAATCTTCTGGTCCAACCATGTTTCGCAACGCCATGACTCGAAACTGAAAAAACAAAATCATGCTTGTTTTAGTAAATGAAGGGCCGATAATGAGGAAAAGTAAGTACTCAAATCAGTCATGTAACTTGTAAATTAAATATTGTGGGAATGCTGCTCTGCTACCAGTTAAGTCTCTGACAAGTATTCACACACAAATTTAAAATACAGGATATACAATTTAAAAAAAAAAATCTCACTCAAATAAGGCATATAGAACTTGAGCATAGAATCTGAGTTTTAACACAAGAAATCAGAAATATCACCATGATTTTGGCCTAAACTCACATCTGATTTGCGCATCAGTTTCTGCATGACCATATGCCTGGCGTTACTGCCACTGATCTTCATGTTCTCTTGTTGGTCGAGGGTCTGGGCAACATCCTCCTCAGTTGGCTTCTTCTTTTTCTCCTCCTCTTTGGGTGGCTGTGCATGAAACGGACTAAGTGCCCCAGGAGGTAGGGGGATCTGTAATGGGGGACCCGACATCTGGGGTATTTGGATGTTACCAGCTCCTGAAAAAAAAGAAACTTCATATCATTATAAAGTTCTGAACTTGTCATATATTATATGAAGAAAATTGTAGTCTGCTCAACAATAAAAAAATTAACTGGAAACAGAACAGAACCATCCCTTTGAAAGTCAATTTTGTTGTGTTGTAGAATAATAAGTGTACACATTCTTTGAAAAAATTAGGACGTAGAACATTGTCCTTTTAAATTTCTAATGATGAACAGCTGGTTTATATTAATATTATTTTTGAGTGTCACATCAATCAAGGATTATTACAAGAGTAATAGTGGGAATTTTGTACAGCAGGCACATAGAAACATTTGTGTTCAGAGGCAGTGATACATACCCGATACTGGAGTCACAATGCCAGGGGGAGGGATTGAGGGTGGTGCCACCCCCATTGGAAGTGTGGTCCCGTGGAGACTGCTAGGTTCAACAACACCTTGCTCTGAGACTACCCGCTCTGGCGTCTTTGTGCCAAGCCCAGTGGGTGTTGCTACCCCAGGAGGTGCCTGTAAAATTGTTAAAAACGCATATAAATGAACTGTAGTTACAGAAGTACACAACTTTCAACACAAAATTCAAATCATTACATGTTGTACTTCTTGTGACATCCTTATCATAGCATCACATTCTAATAAATTCTGTAAACTCCATTCTACTGCAGTAAGGATTGAAGGAGCTAGACAATGCTTACAAGAACTTGGCTAAATTGTTGTTGAGCATCCATGGCTGTAATTTTCGCTGTCACTGCAGCAGCTGCAACTGCTGCTGCTGTAGGAAGGCTGCCTGGTCCGGAGGCTGGCTGCAGGGCATCAGGAGGGGTGATGGCCTACAAAAGATCCAAGACTTTAAATCAATTCTGGTCACTTTGTCATACAACAGAACCAAGACTTTAACTCAATTCTGGTCACTTTGTCACGAGTCTTTAAAGAAATTTTGAATGCAGGTTTTAACTTTTACATGACGCCCAAAGATTTTTTTTCTCAGTTTTACAGATCATTTTTAAATTTCTTTAGATAGTAGCTGGTTTGAGAAATCTAAGGAAATCCTAAAAATCTCACCTTCCCTACTCGCAGATATTGACCTCCAAGGTCAAATAAGTTCATAGAAGTCACTCCATCCAAGGCTGCCTGAGATGTTTCATATTCTATAAAGCCATAACCCCTGAAACAGTCACATATTCAAAGGTTTTATATTACGGAAACAAAAAATGCTTTGTTAATACCTGAACACTGTACTAAGCCACTAGTATAGCATTATACATGTCAGTCACAGGTCAGATCTATAACGTATTTGAAATTGGCTTAATTTTAGCTTTGTTTCATTTCATACATGTCATTAACACTTCACCCAAGTCAGTGGTTCTCAATTTTAAAATGACTATCCTACAAATGTCGGGACTCTCAAAAGCAAACACAAAAGGTTTTGGTCCATGATTGCAACACAAAGTCAAACTGTCAGTTGTAGTTAGCTTAAGTTCCTAATATGAAATTTGCTTCCCAACAGCTTTCAAAGAAGTTCTGTTCTTAGTTTTATCTCTCAGGAATCGTGTATATGAAGGACCAACACACGGGTGGATGGACTGAAATGAGATATGCCATAAAAGGCACAAAGGAAAAAATTATATAAAATACATGTGTATCAGGGCCAAACACTCAACTTTGGTGGACTAGTTAAATTGATTTTTTGCTAGTCCTACATCAACTTAACTAGCCCGAGATTTCCTGAAGGTAACATCCCTAGCCGCAATTGACTGTATGGGGACATAACAACCTCTTACTATAATAGAAATATTGCCAAGTCTGAGGAAATTCTGATATTAAGCATTAAGCATTAAACATGCAATATTTGTTTTTATTGAGAAAACATAAGTTTAAAAAGTTTGAAGGACTTGAGTTCAGTGATTCTCTAGTCCTTGCTGGAAACTACCAACCTCAGACTAGAGGACTTTTGTTAATGTGAAACCCTGTGATATAGTACATTGGCATATAAACATGTAGAACATGCTAGACGATGCATCCCATTGTGAAACTTCAATGTATCAGAACCAGCATTCTCATAACAAATACCCGCACAAGTCCAGGCTCCATACAATGTTGAACCGAGGCATGTTAATATTTGGTCAGTGTAACAGCAAATCTGAAAGTATTTCCTGGGAAATATCCAATATGTACAACAAGATCCACAGTAAAAGACAATTATATTACTTTTATACTTTATGTTTGATATATTATCACATAAATATGTAGACATTCAATAGAACAATTTAAGAGACTACCTTGTAAATTGGACTGCTCTTTTAACCCTTTCATCCCTATGTAACTTTAATAAACTCTTCCATGCATTGATCTGGATAAGTCCATTATGGTCTAGTGGTGAAAGGGTTAAACCATTTTTATATTAGTTCTATTAATTGCCAGAATTCCAATCAACACACACAACCTTTAAGGCAAAGAAAAATTTGACTTTTGGAAATATCTAGAAAAATTTGCTGGGGACCTAAGCATACATAATTAATGTCCGAATGCAAACTTCAACCTGTATTCTGGTTATTACATTTTTTTTCAATCTTTCACTCCCTTTTCAAATCCCCTTAACAATACTGGAAGTGTTCTGATGTGTTAAGAGTGGGCTCGGCAATTAATAAAAACAATACATTATGTAATTATAGTCTCATTTGAAGAAAAACTGGGAGACTTCAATTTTTCAGAAAGCCCTTTTGCCATAAAGCTGACAATAGTTCATTAAGGGCATTCCAAAAAACACTTCAAATCAAAAGTTTTAAGTATTTCCTACAAAACAAAAAAGACACATTAACAACTTGTGAAAGCAATCACATTCATAAATTTGTAAAGCAATTTTTCATGATTAGGCATGTACAGGAAATTATCAAACATAAAAACAAGTACAATAATTTTCTCCCTCACCAAGAACGTCTCTTTAAATGGAAATGATACTACAAGAACAATCAACAGTCAAGCACTACACAGAATGTAATGTTTATTTCATGACAACACCCTTTATAAAACTAAACTTACTTGTGTTTTCCGCCTTTTGGATTTTCCGAGATGATTTTACAGGTCACAATTTTACCAAAAGCTTCAAAAACACTGAAATCAAAGCAAAAATAATAATTTTATAAAGGAAAACCATAGTTATTGAGGAATTTTTCTAGTTAAACACACGTAAATGACCTGCGCTGTCAATAGGGCATTTAACAAAATTAAACCAAACTGAACCAATCTAGTTAAATAACATTTTCTTGCAGTCGAATTAAGAAGTCCATGAACAAGAAACTCCCTTTCATATGCAGAGATATTTTGAGATTATTCTATATCATTGTAATCTGTATAATGTATAAAAGTATTATATAGATATTATTTAATTACATATATATGGCTGATATAGATATTAAGTTTCTTTTAAAAATAGGTCGGTTGGCAAGATCTTGAAAAAAAACACCAATATCCCCGATAAATTGAACAGATGAAGAATGCAGATATTTTTTACAGTTGCTATCCTTTTTAACATAGAATTTTCCATTAAAAACCAGGCCAAAACAAAATAAGAAGCAGAAAGAAATGAAACATATGTTTTTACACATTGAATCTATCTTCATTGATGTCCTGTTACTGAAATAATACTTACCTTTTGATATCTGTCTCTGTGAGATCTGTGTGGATGGAAGCTATGTAAATACGGTTATAATTTTTGGCCTCCTCTGCTAGCTGTTCAATAATAGGCTGAGCCTGTGGCATATTACTGGGTCGTCCAACCTGAAAAGAGAGTTCATGTCAGGACCCTTTGTGTGCAAGATAACTTTCTGAAGAAACAGGTCACAGGATCATTTAAATTGAACTACCATTTTTTGAGAATACTTCTACATTACTTTAATTATAGACTTGAAATTATTTCACATTCACACATTAATTGTTTGTTAATCCTTTTTAATCATAACTGATGTCAAAATTTGAAGGTACTGAAATTGATATTAATATTTCTTCTTCTGATACAGGAAACCTTTTAATCAAATTTATTATGAACGAGAAAGATTTAAATCAATTTGCTTTTAAATTATCTCAACACTTCAATAGGATGGTCACAGCATTTCATCGACGAGACTAAGATAACTTGAATTACATTCAATTCTCTCAAGCATAATAAAATTATTCAGAACAGAATTTTCTTTTTTCTTCAATTCAACATTATCGATTCATTAATATTTACAATTATAATCAACAGTTAACATTATCAAAAGAATCTCTGTGGCCTGTTTCTTCTTCACATAAACAATAGAAATCAACATATATATTGTCATGACGACTGATCACAACTATTCTTCTTTAACCTGGTTTTTAAAACACAACATCCATTTCTTCTGTGGCAACTTTCCATAATCTTATAGTCCAGTCCCACAGCAAGCGATACCTGTGGTATCCAGCCCAAGCCTATATCGCTGCACCTGCTAATTATAGTATAAAAAGAAATTGAATGGCACCCCTTTCTCTCAGTGATGGCCATGTTTCCAAACAGCAGGGAGAAAAACTGTAGAATTAGAGGCCAAGGTAACCCAACATATATTTTCTCCTCAAAACTATTTGAAAAAGTCCATCATTTTACAGTATGCACAGTCGAAATTACCTTACCTCCGGCGATCCTGGCTAGATGTTGTACCCAAAACAGGTCTAATTGTGCACGAATCAATGCATTCATGTGAGAAAAAAACCAAAATAAGAAAATTGTTCTTACTGTAATAAGAAGAGAAATAAGCTGAACTTACTACCTTGATATTCCTCCCTCCTATCATGACCCCATTCATCTGTTCCAGTGCCAGCTGCGCTGCCTCTGGAATCTCATACTCAATGAAGGCAAAGCCCTTGTGTTTGTTGGTGACCGGATCCCAGGACAGGTTTACGCTCTTGATGGGGCCAAAGGGGAGGAATGCCTGCTTGATGGTGTCCTCCTTGATCTCAAAGTTAATACTGCCAACATAGATTCTATCAAAAATGGAAGAATTAGAAAGTAGGTTAAACAAATGTTGTTAATACAAATCTATTGGGTTATGTTAGTGTGTAATATACCTGAAAAGCAATAAACAAGTTTGAACCAGAGGTTTCTGAATGTATAGATTCTAGGACTCGTCCTCATGTTGAAAGTACTCCATATTATTATGAAGTTATGAACAAAAAAACCTGTCATGAACTTGGAAGAAAATTCAAACATTAGAAATCAATTTTAAACTCTCTTTTAAATAAAGTTCTTCTTTCAAATGCATAACTTGAATTTGCTATCATTCTTTCATATCTAATGAACTATCTCTCATAAAGTTTCAGTATTTTCCGACAAAATGGAACTGCATGTAACATCTTTAACTTATTATCCTTTGTGAAGTTATCATTAAAGAAAAGATCTATTTTTTTCTTGTAAGTAAAAATTGAAGTTTTGCATCAATTTCCAATCGAAGTTTCAACATTTTTTTGTAAAAAAAACCCGCAGTAAGAATGTACCAAACTGTTGGATTATTACCTGCACATCAACGCCAAGGCCTGTTGCCGCTGGACCGTGTTCTGGAAATTCTGCATTTGCTGTAAAATGAAATGTTTCACAAATAACTTTCAGCACAGTGTCATAAAAGTTGTAATCCTCATGTTCAATGGTAGAATAATAGATCTGAAGGTTTGTAGTGCAATTATCATCTTTGAGGTGTTATTATGGTTCTGTCATATTTGCGGGGTTTTGTCGAAATGACATCTTTTATAAATGCCTCCTTGTGAAACTTATACTCAAAAATTTGTAGGTAATGAAAGCAAATTGTGAATTAATCAAATGATTCAAGAATAGTGTCAACATGTTATGATATGTAGCTCTGAGTCAATTTATTTCTTTTTCTCTTCTGGAATTCCTCATCCAAGGTGGTTTGAAGATGGTTACCTAAACAGACATTGACACAAAGTTGACAGGAGAGTTAGAAAGGCTGAGCAATAGTTCACCTGCTGCTGATGGGCTATGGTCTGTTTCACCAAAACACTCTTTATGCTCTGTTCCATAGCATACTTCTTTGCTCGTTGTATAAGCTCATTCTGGGAGGATGATAGCTTGGGTAATGTGAATGGTTTCTGATCCCTTTTGGCACCCGGTCCCTCCACAAGGGGTCCAATCTGGTCTGCCTGAGGGCACATCTCCATAGATTCTGAAAGAGTCAATACTTTTAGTAAGCATAGGTACATCGCAAGTTTTTGGGAAAACCTTGAATAAATTATCAGGAGAATGATTACAAACTTTGACAGGGAGTTTAATACATCCTAGTTTTAACCTTACTTTTGACTCACAAGGATAGGATATTACTCAAGAATATATGAAGAGTGTGTTGCATATTTCACTGTTTATATCTAATTAGTTTGTGTCTTTTGGATATGCTCAAGCAGTAGTTGTTCCTATTTCAGCTGAAATGTAATTATTGTATGCTTTGGAATAGATTTAGTCTTCCGGATAAATCCTTGCAGTGTGCATACATCCCATGTCGACCAAATGTTTCATCAGCGTAACTGAACATATTTATATTGCTACAAGCAATTTTATGCCCCAAGATAAAGTGTTCATATGGAAGAATTCTTCCTAATAATGTATACCAGAACTGTCTGGGTTTATGAAAATTTTAAGAAACAAAAAATTACAATGTCACTTCATTTGATCCCAATTGTTGCCTACATATAACAGTTACACACAAGTTTATAACCATCCAAAGCTTATTATTGAGGTTCGTACAAAGTCCAATAATTGATTACAATACCATTATTATTGACCAGAAGTTAAAGGGACTTTAAAATAGACTTTTCAGTGTAAACATTGAAAACATTTTTTTCAAAAAAATTCCAAACTTTTTTTCAACACAAACCTCCATCTTTAACTTTCAAAACAAATCTACATTTTTAACAACATATATAGATATCATGTTATTCTTATCTAATTGTAGTTGCCGAGTTAATGTCCACAGATTTTGTCTTAAAATCCCTTTAAAGATATATGAACATGTTTGACTTTCAACAGATAATGGACTTGCACAATATCAAAACCAATATCCATACACAGTAAATGAAGTCAGGAAGAACCGTATCAACACAGATGTCATCTATGATAGGATATTGCATGTTTGTAACGATGTTTACCGCTAGCATCCCCATGATTGACTGAGAGCAGGAGCTCATGGCAACAAGCCCTCGACTAATATCAGACATTCGGTCGTCGCATGTACATAAGCTAGGGTACCACAATTTTTGGCTCGATACTTTTTACATGAAAAACACAGAAAGAAACAGAAAGAAAACCATGGATGAGTGACAAGACTGTAACATCATAAAACAGTTGTAATTAATTTGTAATTATTGACGACTGGCTCCGGTCTCTTCCTTGCAGCAAGCAACTGTGAACTTACCAAAGTAAAGACTATCTTATTTTGCCATCGAGTATGTACCATATTGAAGGTCATCTTGAGGACATGGGAACAGTATCCAGAAGCTTGTACTGGTATTTTATATTATAGCAAAGGGAATGTTTAAATTTTACCCTTCAAAGAATCGCCTTAAGATCAGTATGTACATTACCCAGTAAGAATATAAGATGATCATTAAAATTGGTAAGTTCACAGCAATGTAACAAACCTGGAACGTAAATTATTATATTTAATGTCTCACTCGAATAGCACAAGTCTAACATCTCTCCAATCTCATGGTTCAAAGTTTTTTTTCAACAGCTGATTAATAGAATCATCCCCTACCTGGAGGGTGTGACAAAAAAATCTCCAACCCGATGGGTGTTGTTTTTTGATTGTCTATCCTGAGGGTTAGACAACCAAAACAATCACCCCGAGGGTTGGAGATTTCTCTGTTTCACCCTCAAGGTAGGGTGTGATAATTTTCCTCCCATCCTATTATTTCAGTCACAGCTCCAACGACAGTAGTCTGCCATGTTTGTAAAAAAACAAAAACATGTGGGATATGCATATCGTCATTCACTTTTGATGACATCACAATTACTGATGACGTATTTTAATGACGTCACAATTGAACATGTGCTTATAGGCACGAGGCTATCTCCCCCTAGGGGGCGACAAGCTGATCTTTCCCGGCTAAAACGGGAGACACGCCTGTGAAGGGTGGGAGAATACTTAATCCACGTTTCAACGATGTAAAAAATCAATCAATGAAGAAAAGTGGTTTTTTGTATGTGAATACTTATATATAACTAGTTGTTTGCTTGAACATATCTGATTTAAGGTAGCCATTGCATATTAAATAAGGATTTGTTTCTTCTTTCATTGATTCAAAACTTGGTTTTTTTAAATGTATTAATATTCCTGAACATAACTTCAATGATCTAATATTGCTTTTCATACTCTGTAACAGTATCACTATTTCTTCAATCTTTAATACTGCTTATCAATACAATGACCGAGATTATTTACTGTACAACATGAAATAATCGTGTGTATTTTTCATCCACCGTTTGGGGCCATTTAAATCCTTTCGTGGTACAAACTTTCATAGATACCACGGTACCTCTTATGGACAAACAATAGTCCAGCATATCAATTACATTTTTTGTATATTTTTTTTGTGGTTACAAAGCAACCACGAAAACCACAAGAGTTTATACACAATAAACATTTCATGTCATACAGAAGCATTTTGAAGCGAAAAGAAGCTTTTCACAGAAAAATAATGTGCATAATTAGCGGTCAGCTGAGAACAAAAATACAAAATGGAGACCATCTGATTAATCCAAAGAAATCAATTATTATCAAACAAATCAGTTACATGTTTTTTTCACGCTTTTGCAAAATGCTTCCTACGTTTTGAAAAATAAATCTTCCTACTTTTGAGCATTTCATTGAAAGTGGAAACTGTCCTGAATTCTTTGAGACCAACAAAATTACTTTAAATCAGTCATTGTATTGAAGGAATTCTGATAAAAGTGAAGCAAACACAATGGAGGACCCTCAAATTTAGAAAAAAAGTATTCCAGACACCTTACGAAACAGCTATCACTAACTATGTGACTAGTTCTTCTGTCTATTTTATACTACCCAACATGTGCCAACACCAAAACATTTCCATTGCCAGGCACACATTCTCCGAAATATTTTGACCATAATTCAGAAACAAGATTTCACATCTCAATTTCATCAGAACATGGAGTAATTTTCGAAAGCATTCAGTTTCAATACAAAAGGATAAATCAATCCCTTATTTTTGGACACTACCAGTTAAGGTGATAATGTTGCATATGACAAATAACCAGTCATCCAAGTTAATGCATATGTATGTATGTATACAAAAAGAAAGTTGGGAGCACAATATTGCATTAGTTTATACCAGATATCATGTTTCAGACACTTTGTAAACATTAAAATTTGAACATACATTGTCAACAAAACTTAGAACATGCATATTTATCATTGTTTCTGTTGACTAAATCATTTGATCAGTCACATGGAATTTGTTCGACCAATCAAAAGTGTCTTCCGTAACTTCTGTCACCAGTCTTCCTGGAATGGAAATCAGACCATTTTTTTAACACCAATAACACGGTAGTAGCATTAAGGAGGACAGGAATAAAAGGCAGGGCATTTGTATAGCCACGGTTGGTTATAGACTGTTTACCAAATACTCAAAAACATTTTACTTAATCTTTTTTTTTTTAAATGAGGAAAATTTACAAATCATTATAGACTGTTTACAGAGTTTAATATAAAATAGCAATGGTCGACAGGATTTGGTTGAAAAAAAAAATAAAAAATAACACAGAGGCATGCACAAAAATAAGGGATATAACATACGGTATGCATTATTCTAACAGACTATGAAAAAAACGAAAGTAGAATTTGTCAAATATTTTTTTCAAGCAAGCTTCATTTTTTGAAAGCTTTTCCAGAAAATTTTCTTCCATGAAAAGTTCATTGTTTTATTATTAGACAGAAACAAAAAATAATGAGAAAATAATTTTGATTTAGAAGTGTACAATCTCGGAGCATGATAAGTGTGGAGGATGATTCTGCACCAGCTCTGTATTATGGACCTTTAGCAGACAGTCGCTTGCTTTGTGGTTTGTCGGTGACTGAAAATACATAGAGGAAAAAACACCTTCCGTGATTATCGGGCGTGGTAGTTTGCACATAAACAACACTACACAATTGTTATGACTGAGTTGAATCTGATTATCTATTACAAAGATCTTATTTCCAATTTGGCTCCAAAACTTTTCTATTTTTTAAACTTCAATACAAACACAGCCTCCTTAAACAGTGACATCAAATGTTTTTTTCATTATTTCACAACCTAAACAGCAAATAATGCAAACAAATATATATTGACTAATTCACAGTTCTTATACTTGATTACAAAATTATCTCGAGTGATTTTCTGAAATCTTTAAACATCAAAGTGAGCAAGGAAACATATTATGTCCCATATTTCAAGGGTGATTTTGATACAGTAGAAGATCTAATTTTCAATTCCAATAAACATTCATTTTTGCTGGTTAAGTTCCATGCAACATCAACAGGAGCTGCTGGGTTGAAAACCCTGTCACATTGAGGTGCGGTCCTGTCACCTGTGTACTGATAAACTAATGATTTATTTCCAACTCAGTAAGTATGACTGCTGAAAAGATACAAAAGAGGCAGAGAAAATAATGAGTATGTACTGCATCATGTTTTATTTTCACATCTTCTCATTTACAACATGGATGAGATCGAACACAAAAAAATCACACTCACAAAAGTAATACTTCATTCTTCTCAAGTGTAAAGAATACAATACAGACTTGTTTTTAGAAAACTGCTGCAACACTGTTTCCCTCAGGAACGACTTGCAAACAAACTTTTATATAGATCAGTGTTTTCCTCTATGTACTTTGGGAAATTTCAGCTGTCAGATTTCCGGAGAAAGTTATGGCAAAATCACAATTTTTGGTATCCATTCAAAGTTTAGAGTTCCACTATTTTAAAAATTGTTTTTAAGAGAAAGAAGATAATATTTTTTTCACCAGGTGATTATATTTTATCAAAAAACATACTTGTGATTGGATTTTTTTTTTGGTATTTTGGAATTCTTTAGCTTGCTTTGCATTAAAACAAGGCTTAAACACAATTTCTGATTGGTCATTTTGCACCTTAACCAATTATACATACAAGAAAAACATTGAGGATAAAGGCAAAGTTTTTGTTCATATAAAAATTATGTGTTTTTCGGAACTGATATTTCCCCATGATTTTGTATAAATATTTTAAATTATAAAGTCTGTTAACTGCAAAATTTAAACAAAAATACACCAAAATCTAAATTTCACTAATTCAAGCAAATTTATTCATTCCAATTGAAATCCAATCAGTCGTGTTATCTCTGACACTATGTACAGGAAATTTGCTTAGAATCAGTCCTATATAAAATCAATATAAATATTTTTCAATTTATAAAAGGCTAGAGCTGCATTGCATATCTCACTTTCTTCAATGGCATCTCACTAATTTCATTATTACATCTTATGACGGCGAAATACAGAAAGCTATTATGATACAAGTCATACCTTTCTAGTTTCTATACAAACAGATATAATATCATATTTTCACTAGTGAATGAGTAGAATGTGACATTATAATATATGTAATGTGACTGGAAAGTCCAATCACAACATTTTGTTTGATGGCAAGATTCAGGAAATGCAATGAGCAGAGACTTCAATTTTTCTCAGGTTTTAAACAAAAAGAAAAAAATCATGATATTTTCAACTCTTCTTTGCATTATCGAAAAAAATATATAATGATCATATTCTCGGAAAAACTAGAAATACCATTTCTAAATATTCAGTCCTTAAACAAATCATTATCTTGCATCTATTTCTAAGAAATCATGAATCCACCATACTGCTCAATCTTCCAATCACCTTCCAAAAACATTGGGACATCTGATGATTACCAAGCAATGTAAAAACATATATTTATGATTAGTGTACATAATAATGTCATTCACTAGTTACGTGTTGGAGGTGTAAATATCACAATATTGTACAAAACATTGATTGTTGTTTTAGAAGTATGCTCTGCAAGAGTGACTGTTATTAACATAACTTCAAAACTGTCTTTTATATTGTCTATCTCTTCAGTCAAACAGGATTTCTTAACATTTATCGTAATAAAAATCAATACAATATTCAAAATTGAATATAAGTATTCACCTGATTCGCAACTGTATCTATATAAAACTGAGGTCACAGCTTTTAATGATGTCAAAGTTGTCTTTCCCCCCCAATTTTGTGCAAGAACAAGAAGATCTAAGGAATTATATGTTCCATAATAATGTCAAAAAAACCGTGGTTCTGACCACTATTGCTAACATGCAAATCCTGCATCAACATAAACAAGAAAATTGTTCAAGGAACTAATCTTCTTTTTTATGTAACAGGGAAGGGTAAAATATTGTGACCTACCATCGTCTAACTTCATCTTCCTGAATGCAAAAGGATCCGTCTGAAAATAAAACAGAAATGAAATTATATTTTTTTCAAGAAATAACGATTTGACTTTGTTTACAAATGCTTCCCTCATAATCAAGTAGTATTTACAAAAATGTTGCTAGTTTATATAAAATAATAAATGTTAAAAACTTTTTATTTAGATTTATATTTATTTGAAGGTCATATTCAATGATAATTACCTCTTGTTTAACTCCATTCTCCGTTGGCCACGCAGGTGCATCTGCATCCTGAAGAATGAAAACATAATATGACAATCATGTAACAAAACAGCACATTCCATTGAATAAATCATACCTTTTTTCACCCAATGAAAATGAATTGTACAAAACCTGTACTTTATCCTAAGGCCAAAAAAAAAATATATAGTCTGTTTCAGGTTGCACGGGCAAAAAAAGGCTAGGGTAGGTAGTCAGGTCAGATTTTGTGTGTGTTTTTTTTGTGTTTATTTTTGGTCATGTGATTATGAACCTACTATTGTATGTAAAACAAAGGATTACATAAAGAAGGTTCATTTGGAGTCAAATTGTGCTCCATATGATGTCATTTAGCGCCAACACGGAGCTGGAAGCCATTTTGAAAGGCAAGGAACCTTCTAAAATTCGAAAATCAGCGGGGTTTTTTTCATCAAAAGTTTTGAGTTGGGGGGTAAAAAGCTAGGGTCGGTTGGGAACCTTTCGGTCGGGAACCCGAAACAGACACCTATTTTTGGGGCCTGATGTTTTGTTAGTAATTAGCATTGTGTGAAACCATCTTTGAAATAAAGAGAAGTTCTAAAGATCAAGAGTTCAAATAAAAAATGTCTCTGCCAATCAGCGTTCATCTTGGATTTTCGATGTTTTGCAAGTTTCAAATAGTTAATTTACGTGACCCTGCATGAAATATATGGGACATCATAATAAACTGAAAGGAACATTTGTACTAAGTCTAAAATCTATCAGCTCAGTGGTTCTGAAGCAGAAGCCTTAAGTGTAAATTTCAAACAAGACTGATTGCAATAGCTCAAATTACAACCTGTTGTATTCGAAACGGGCAGTGGCATATATATAAAATGTATTTCATTTTCTAAAATAAATGTATTTGCATTTAGAGAACTAAAACAATAGGAACAAGTACTAATTGTAATGGGGGACCATTGCAGAAGTCCCCCCCAACTGTCCCCATAGTCGCAAAGATACATCAGAAAAGGATCACAATGGCATAAAACCCTTCATACTAAATTTGAGTGAAATCGAACAATATCTGTGCAGTTGAATTTGCAGTCCCCTTATACCCCTATATACTAATTTTCATAAAAATCAAACAATATCTAAATTTCGACCAATCACAAGCCTCCGTGTGGTTGCTATGAGGTTGCTATGGCAACGAAACATATGCGGTTGAATTTGCAGTCCCCTAATTACCCCATAGTCGCAAAGATGCATCAGAAAATGATCGCAATGCCTTTATACACACACCATCGAACACTATCTAAATTTCGACCATTCAGAAGTCTCTGTGTGGTTGATATGGCAACATAACCTATACTAATTGAATTCGCAGTCCCCTTATACCCCTGTAAACCAATTTTCATAAAAATCAAATAATATCTAAATTTCGACCAATCAGAAGCCAGTATATAGCGGCAATTTTGTCAAATTAAAAAAACGAATGTCGCAGTTGAGTTTGTAATGCCATATTACACATACATACTAAATTTGAACGAAATCAAACAATTATATTTAAGAACCTATCTTTTGGTGTTAACCCTTTCATTGCCACATTAGTTACAATGTAAATAGGTGTATAAATTACATTAATTCAGTAAAATTAAAGATTTTTCAATCATTTTTATCAAATGTCAATATCTTTGGTAATATCCATGGGGTCTTTATGAAATTTGGCACTTCACTTGCAAATTACCTACTGATTATGAAAATATATTCAAATTTGCTATATTATCTCATTAACCTGTAAAAAATACAGGTGAAAAAGCTAATTAAAGGTAAAAATTTAATGAAAATGTTATTGAATGCATATAAAATGAATGAAAGTGTTTGTTGTTATTCATATTCTACTTACAGCAGTAAACTATGATCTTCCAAGAACACAATGACACATTTGTTACTAATTATATATCTCAGATAAGTTCAGGTAAGGTAATAAAATGATCAGGTAAATTAGCACAAATCTTCAACTAAAGTTCTTAGTTTTATACCTACATAAAACAACATTTGATTGTATCTAAATCCTCCAAATATGCACTTCCATGATGTACTGGCAACCCCACATTGTCAGGTAAGTTTCAAGTATATTCCTCATCAGGTGAGATACAGGTTAACGAGCACAGGTGAGATACAGGTAAATATTTTCAAAATTCAAAACTAACAAGTTTCTGAAGCTTTTTGTCCTTTTTCAAGACTTTTCACACAAGTAACTTTCAAAACTGATTAGTTTATCAGTACTCCAATAGTTGGTTATTCTTGGAAGACGCGTACACCCATCATTATATTCACAGAAATGAAGGCACGCACCTCAGATGCTGACGTCGGAATCCATTTTGGATCTGGGCCTTTTTGGTCTGCATATCTGTTCGTCTCAACTGCTACGGTTTCAAAGAAAGTTTGTGGCAAAAAACGTGTAAAATATTGGAGATGATTTGCATCAGACGACAATTCGTAATTTACACCAGTAGTTTCAGTGAAATCCGGCAAAACAATATCCGACAAAATACGAGTCCATTCCCGATTCAAATTTCCTAAATATGGGTCGTCGCCATTTTCATTTTCACTTTCAATTACCTGATCGTCGCCAGAATCGCTCGTACCGGTACCATCCTCATCATCGTCAGAATCATCAGAAATATCAATATCAGATTCATTGTAGGCCTGCTAAAGTTCATGTTGTTTTGATATGAATCTTGTGTTTGCCTCGTCGATATTGTGCTCGTCAAAACCATCAAAGTCAGACTCATCCGACGACTCAATGTTTCATTGACGAAGTTTGAAATTTCATCGGAAAAACTGTAAAAACTTCTGTTTTACTCCGAAATTCCTGCAGGCTTTTACTCGGTTGTAAACCGGAAATAACAGCCGATCATAGTCACAAAAACTCTTGACGATAATGACGCCTATTTCTGCTTGGTTAGGTAGCAACGCAGGGACGCTGTACACGGCCGGTTTCGGCCGGTTTAGCACTATACGATTGTGGCCGGTTTCGGCCGGTTTAGCAACGAAAGGGTTAATACAGTAAACCCTTTCAAAGATATTAACTCATCAGTGTTCCAGTATTAATCATAACCAGGTTACGTACTAAACCCCTGTAGAGAATTATGCCAATGAAAGCTTTCATTTCCGAGTCCGTGACGTCAGTCCATTTTCTCGCACGTGCGTGAGGTTTTAAGTTTTCAACTCCACCAAGATTTGTGATGTACTGTTAATATATCCATGATTTCATTATTGAACAATGTAAGAAAAAAATCTAACTCTGATGCTTCGGATTTTTCGGAAACTCAACTACGGAGAAAATATGCATTATGCTTTGGGTCCCGATCTTCCCTATCCATTTCATTCTCAACTACTTGTTCAATTACATGTAATTCCTGTTCATCAAAATCAATGTCGGCATCAAGGTCAAAGTTTTCACCGATTTCATCACAAATATCTTCTGGATAGAAGCCCATAAATTCATCATCCTCCCTATCGGAGTTACCGACAAGTTCGTAAAACTCGGCTTCAGCCATTGTTGCAAAAATTTCAGTCAAAACATGCAAATAATCCCATTTTTCTGACATAAATCAATGACCTCTATCACTGTTGATTTCTGACCGCCATCTTAGATCTCACCTCTATTGAATTCCCGCTAGATACAATTTTTAAGTAACACAGGAATTCCTGTTACTTAATTTAGAAAACGAAACCTATTCATGGGCGGTATATCCCGCCGGCAGTGGCAGACAGTAAGATTAGCGTGGGCGGGGATTCAGACCAGCCGCAGTCTAAGAGTGTAAAGTGAAAACACGCCACAAATTGTATTCAAATCAATTTATTGAATATAACAGTAACATCTACCCAAAATATTACATGGTAAACTTATCATGACAACAGACTCGCAGAAAAAAATGAAAGACGGATTGAGAAGGGAAGATGCACTGACACATGAAAAGTTACAAGTCACTCACAAATTTCATTGATTTGGGGCGAACTGAATTTTTGAGAACTATATGGGGTGTTTAGGTTTTTGGGGTTGGAATTAATCAAAATTGGGGCGCAACAGCTTGGGGAAAATCGTTGGACACCCTTATCAATACTCATTTGAATGTTACTATTACATTTCGCAGTCCTTTTGATACTTTGTGTGTGTGTCTCTCATGTTTTATCTTGTTTACTCTCATTATTATTTCTTAATCAAAAACTTGTCAATTCTCATGTCCCTGTGTTTGTATGCATGTGTAGCAGAACTGGACTGGGTCGATTGTCGGCGACCAAGTAGCTCAATTGGTAGACCACCTGTCTGGAGTTCGGATGGTCCTGTGTTCAAATTGTTTAACCCTTGTTTCAAACACTGGGCGACTTCTTGGCAGGGTATTGATGTCTTAGGGAGCAAAACCTTCGAAAAAGGAGGGAGGGATGTAATAGAACTGGACTGTGTTGATCAGGTAGCTCAATTTGTTAAACATCTTTCAAAGAGTTCAACGGTTCGAATCCCCGGTCTGGGTGTTACATTCCTCCAGAGACGTACAGTATACTGGTTTTATATGTCTGATTTCTCTTTCTGGGCGAAACGACTTCATCAAGAGAACGGCAATCTTTACTATATTAGAGCAGTGCATATTATGTAAACCAAAATCTCTACTTTTCTTTAAAAAAATGGAATAGTTTGACAAAATATTCAAGTTGTCCGTTACGACATCGCTTACCATAGTTTCGGCATAGAATCGTGAAGCAACCAAGCCGACGTCCTTGCGACGTTTTTGTAGGCCTAGTTACAACAGATCACCCAAGAACCAAACATACTTTAAACATAATTTTCATAATGATTTTTTTTTTTACTCATATCAGTCATTACAACCTGGGGATATAAGCTATATTAATGATCTAATGAATTACCGGATATTTGTGTCGAAAATCATAATCGATCGTTTGCACAGACCACGCCGGTCGGGCACGATAACAATGAAATGCTATAATAACAAGTGATGTTTTTACAAATAGAAGTTTTCTATATCATGGACCAGGTAGTGATAAACAAAAAACATCAAGTATTCGTGTAAATGCGAATGTTGTCTTTGCTTACCGATGAAAAATTCGAGTTTTGATTTGCCATGGCGCCCAGGTCAATCGACGCCATTTTCCTTCTTGTCACGTGGTCATAAATTATATCCTGAACCATACAGTTGCAATCAGTAGTAGGGGTTAAGCACAAGCTATTCCAAGTGCGCGAACTATACCACAACTGAAAACGAAGCACATGTTTTGGAAGTAATAATGGGAAAAGACAAGAAGAGGAAGTCTGAAGGAGGAGAAGAAGAGGGTGGTGATAGCAAAGAAGCATGGAACTCTAAAATTGAACATTTAAATGCTATTTCAAAACCGCTAGCTCCACGGAAATTAAGCAAACGATTGTATAAAGCGATCAAAAAAGGTATATAATCGTGACACGTGCTGCCCCCCCCCCCCCCCCCCCCCCCCCCCCCCCCTTCTCTTCATGTGGGGCTAAAACTATATAAACCAATCTTAGATATGCAACAGTACTGAATGTTTGATGACAATTTGTTATAAAAGGTCATGGCAAACTTTGTGTAAAACTGAAAATGGAGGACGATGGCAAAACTTCAAACAAATAAGTTTTACCAGAGACGTACATACTAGTGTAACAGCTAAGCCTAAGGACATGAGGGGGAATTGTGCCTTGCTGGCAAGCTAGCTTTTCCAGTGATGCGGTATAACATATCACATAGTTGACAGGTTGATAGAGGATCAACATAGAGGATCGACATGGCATTTGGAAATCCTTGGTTTGAATGCCAGAGTGATGTTTACATTTCATATTTACCCTCTCCATTTGCACACCTGTAAGCTGTATGTAGAAGTTTATTTTTCTACTTCTAGCATAATGTGACTTCTAGAGATACAAGCTGTGAGTTTTACTATATCATGAAACTGTATTATTTAACTTTTTATACTTTCTTTCAGCTGCAAAACAAAAACAGCTGAGAAAGGGAGTACGAGAAGTGCAGAAATTTGTAAGAAAAGGAGAGAAAGGGTATGTATTCCTTCTTGAGGTTAATAACTAGCATAATGTCCACAGAGAGTTTACCTCAGAATCCTTTTACAATGATGAAAAAGTGGGTTTTGATATTGCTTGACTGCGACATGGCCTATATCAGGTCCAGTACACTCTGCCGATTGAGCTATATAGCTGTAAAGACCTATAATAGCTCTATTGACCTGTCTGAAATAGGTCTTTTGAGCTATTTTCAAGTGATTTTCCTTTTTAAGGAAAACGGAACAAAGTCGCATTTAAAAGAAGATTGTATCATTAGGTTGATTACAAAAGACATTACATATAAGTATTCTTTTTAATAAATAATGATGTAAAGAAATCGGAAATTTTACATTTATGAAAAATAAAAATAAACATCTAAATGTATGCTTTTTGTAGTCAACATTACCATTAACCTTATTGTTTTATACGACTTTACTTTAATTTAATGAAATTTGAAATTTGAGAAAATATAGCTCAATACAGCTATAATTTATAGGTGTATATAGCTATATAGGTCTTTATAGCTCAATCGGCAGAGTGTACTGGACCTGTATATATAAAACATAACCAGGTTGGGAGAAACCACCAACTTGCGTATATACGCAAACTAGCCTATTATACGCAAGTTGGAGTATGAATTTGTTACTAAAAATAACTCAAATCGCTTTAACAGTAACTTTTGCAAGATATTATTGAAAATCGCATTAATTTACGACAAGGTAAATAATATTTTGCTAAAAGATGTTGACTGAAAGCGTTGGCTACTTAGAAACTTGATGTAACTTTACCGGAAGTATTGCATCTATTTTTGGTACTTTCCCACATGCAAATAAAGTTTATTTTCGCATTTGTATTATATTTCATGAAAGAATAAATGCGACTTGGACGAACAATTTGAAAAAGTTAAGATTAAAGTGGTTTTTTGCTATTTTTAGTAACAAATCCATACCCCTATTGGCGTATAATAGGTGAGTTTGCGTATGAAACGCAAGTTAGTGGTTTTCCCTGACCTGATAACTGCAGATTTTATCCACAGCAGATTTAGGGAAATATTATTTAGGGCCTCATATCAGAGATGCGTGTGCCCAATATTAATCAGTGTCCGCCTTTCTTTCAATCCACACTTTCCAAACATTTTCTCAGAATCAAAAGACTATTCCTTTTGAAACTTGACAATTGGTGATCCACTGTAACATGAAGATATCTGCAGTAAGGGTTTAGAAAGTTTCTAAGGTCAAAGTCACTATTACCAGGAAAAGACCATTTGGCTATATCTTGGAATCAAATAATCTTTTGAAAATTTGACATGGTGATATACTGTGATATGTGATGTGCAATAGAGATTTAAAAGTCTCTAAGGTCAAGTTTGCTATTACTAGCTAATAGTTATTATCTTGGAATCCTCAGGTTATTCATAGTAATTTATAGTAATCTTCCATCATTGGAAATCTCGATAGAGATTGTTGCGATGCCTCTTCAGGCCTCGGCCACATGACATGGCGGGGCCCTGTCAGTGAACATTCTATTTTAATTGATTTGCTCAGCAGTGTATCCCACTTAATGTCGATCATCTTACTTTAAATTCAACTATCACACAAACCACATACCAAACATATATATAAACTGTTAACTCTTTGCCTGCTGCATAAGAGTTACTTCCCCCTAGACCCATCCTCTCAGTAATTTTGAACCGTTTGTCAAGTTTTGAACAAATTCATTTTAAAAGATCATTGCTTTTTCATTTGTTATTGTACTTCAATGATATGTTGGGTATGTTTAGAGACATGATGAAAGTTTATTTGGATACCAAATGTTCCTGATTGTTTTTATTGCAAGAGATAAAAATCACAGGTTGAACACAACTTTGTTAGAAAAAACTTATTTCCACTTGTTTTAACTCATTCACCCCTGAAGACGCATTTGAACTCTTCCAATTCAAATGAATAGTTCATTATGAAATTTCAGGGGTTAATGAGTTCATCACTCTTGTTGGCCTGGATGTTAGCGCGGGGTGTCTTCATGTGGGAGGAAACCAGAGTACCTGGAGAAAACCCACATGGTCGGGCAGGTGACCCCATTCCTTTTTATGTTTCGATCGGGGAATCAAACCCCGGTTGTCTTGGTGAAAGGCAAGTGCGCCACCCGACCACCCCTGCCATAACCTCTGCAACAAGTTCCGTGTCAATTTCTCTTGCATCATACGCTTCATCATTGGCAATATTTTCCAGTAAATAGCCTAAAAACTCATCTTCGCTGTCGGAGTTAGCAACACTATCATAGCATTTGAATAAAAATAAATTAAATGTACAGAAAATTAAGTGTGCACAAAACCTTTATTCTCTGGAGAATCTGTTGGTATTTACCTCAAATCTCTAAGTAAGGTAATTATATTATAGGTGATGATCAGTGTTTTGCAGATAGAATGGAAAATAAAACTCATTCCTTTTGTAAACATATTTAATTTGATATTGTTTTCTTTTTCTCTTTTGTAAATAGTGTGATTGTGTTGGCTGGTGATGTAAGTCCTGTTGATGTCATCTGTCACATGCCTTTACTCTGTGAAGAAGGAGGAATACCCTACTGCTACACACCCTCAAAGGATGTAAGTCTGACCCCTCCTTAAATACCCTAATGTTACACACCTTCAAAGGATGTAAGTCTGACCCCACCTTAAATACCCTACTGTTACACACCCTCTAAGGATGTAAGTCTGTCCCCTCCTTAAATACCCTACTGCTACACACCCTCAAAGGATGTAAGTCTGACCCCTCCTTAAATACCCTAATGTTACACACCTTCAAAGGATGTAAGTCTGACCCCACCTTAAATACACTACTGTTACACACCCTCTAAGGATGTAAGTCTGACCCCTCCTTAAATACCCTACTGTTACACACCCTCTAAGGATGTAAGTTTGACCCCTCCTTAAACACCCTACTGTTACACAACCTCAAAGGATGTAAGTCTGACCCCTCCTTAAACACCCTACTGTTACACAACCTCAAAGAATGGAAGTCTGACCCCTCCTTTAATACACTACTGCTATACACCCTCTTAGGATGGAAGTCTGACCCCTCCTTAAATACACTACTGTTACACTCCCTCTTAGGATGGAAGTCTGACCCCCTCCTTAAATCCCCTACTGTTACACACCCTCAAAGAATGGAAGTCTGACCCCTCCTTCAATACACTACTGCTATACACCCTCTTAGGATGGAAGTCTGACCCCCTCCTTAAATACCCTACTGTTACACACCCTCGAAAGATGGAAGTCTGACCCCTCCTTAAATACCCTACTGCTATACATCCTCGAAAGATGGAAGTCTGACCCCTCCTTAAATACCCTACTGTTACACACCCTCAAGGGATGTAAGTGACCCCTCCTTAAATACCCTACTGTTTTTTCCCCCTAAAAGATGTATGTCTTGGGTGTTCGGATTGTGCAGTGGATAACACATTTGCCTTTCACCAAGGAGGCTGGGGTTCGATTCCCCGGATTTGAAAAGGTATGGGTCACCTGCCCGACCCTAGAGTTTTTTTCCGGATACTCCAAACATCTGGGTAAACAAGGTTGATCAAAATAAGTTGAAAGAACTTGTTTCATAATTGTTGTAAAAGTTTATATTTAGATACTACTGTACACACTTAAATACCTGTTACACACCCTCCAAGATGCATGTCTGACTCCCTCTGTTAATACCCTACTACAAACCCTCCAAATTCCAACTTCCATCCATAAAGACCAGACAGGCACCCTCCAAAGATGGATGTCTGACCCCCCCCAGTAATGATGCTGTTACATACACACCATCCAAAGACATAAGTTTGAACCCTTCTGAGTTCTCACACTCCCCTTTTACTAACACAGGGGTTAGCGTTGGACTTCCTGATTTGATGTTATAAGGCATTCAGTTACATGCCTAATCACATGGGTTTTTCTCTAGAGTATTCTGGTTTCCTTCCAAATTAAGACCGACTTGTACTTCCATCCCGGCCAACAAGAATGATAAATGCAAGTTAAAAAACCCTTTATATAATGGTTGGAATGTGTTATAAAACCAATAAAGTTCATATATTTTATGTTAGCCTACTGTTACTCACTCTCCAAAGTTGTAAAAAAAACCTAAAGGTCAATGATATTTACCTGTATTTAACTTACTGAATTAATTGGACATATAATACAAATGGTATTAGCATCTCTCATTGGATATCTTCGGTATAATGTACAGCTGGGCTATTTTAGGCAAATCCCTTATACCAATAGACATGGGTACATGTTTAACAACAGTAGTTAGTGCCAGATTTTTTTCAAAGCATTGGATAGGTGTTTAACATAAGATTTCTATTGATCAAACAAATCTTGATGTCCATTTCCATCATCCTCAACCAATCTTACATCTCTTGTATCTCCACAGGACTTGGGTGCTGCTTGTGGATCCAAAAGACCTACCTGTATGGTAATGATCAAACCCCATGACGACTATCGTGAACTCTACGACGAATGTGCTGGAGAGGTCAAGGACCTTCCTCTTCCCATCTAATCGGACCAGAATCATTGGATACGGAAATGGTTGTCGAGTCATAAGATCTTCAACATTTCTTGACATACCAGAATCTCGGGATATGGAATTGTTTGTCAAATCTGAAGATATTGGACATGGTTGACTTAGGAGGACATCGTGATACAGAATTGCTCGTCAAGCTTCGAGACCTTGGACATTGATGGCCCAGTTATAAGATCTGGAATGTTGTGGGTGTAGCAGAAGACATCTCAGTTAAATATATACAATCGGGGCCCAGTTATTCAAAACACTTCATTTACTCAACTTTCCAAAATGTATTATTTTCTACAAATGTTGTCTTGTTTTTTAACTTTAAATGTTCATTAAAAAACTTGGCACATGTAGTTTAAATTTCAAACTGTAAGAAAATGATTGAAGTTACAAAAAACCATCTTCATTGAAGTTAATATTTCTTTGCAAAACCAGGCAAAGATGATACCCATGGGGGGGGTATGCTTTCTCTTACTCAGGACTGGTATCCACACTTTTCCTGTTTTGAGGTTAATAGAATATTTAAACCAATTGGAAGCAAGATAAGGGAATCTCAACCAGAGGGGGGAATTCTTAAGTTTCCAAACATAAGGCTTGCCAAAGAGTTTGCCAGCTGAAGAATCTTTCTCTTGGGGTCGAGATCCCGAAACTTACCCCACATGTGATGAAAGAATATTTTTCTTTTACCCTGTTGACCCTGTCAAATATACACATTTTATAACCATATTTTATTCTTTGAAGAGCTGTTCAATGTTTGGGTTTGCGGAAACAGGATATCGAGATGGAACAGGTTTTGTCACACAGAATCTACCTTTTAACAGTACAGACAGTGTTTATTCTTGGTGTTTTCAGAACTGTTCTAATGACCATTTCATTACCCGATACATAAATATATACATGTATATGTAAATCACTGAAATACATAAATATATAAATCACTGAAATACATGTATATGTAAATCACTGAAATACATAAATATGTAAATCACTGAGATACATGTATATGTAAATCACTGAAATACATAAATATGTAAATCACTGAGATACATGTATATGTAAATCACTGAAATACATAAATATATAAATCACTGAGATACATAAAAAGGTAAATCACTGAGATATTTAAAAAAAAAATCATTGCAATTTAAAATCCATTATTTTCTTTAATAAAATAGGTCTTGTCATGTTATACCTAGCATTTATTGCAAACACCAATAGTGTTCAGGCAGTGTCCTGTTGTTAATTGTATACTGTATAGAACTTGTGGTTTGCAGAGGTTTTATCTCCATAGAATTTGTGACCTGAAACATGGAACTAGTTATGATTTAATACTGGTATTGAGCAAAATTTCAGCTTCACAAGTTTGTTTGAAAATAGGACCCCGTGAAATTACAGTCCTGTGTAACATGAGTGAGGAAGTAGTGTTAGTGTGAATGTGAGGAGAGAAAAGGATGGAGAGAAAGTTCATTGTCATACAGAAACATGTTAATGTGGATCACTAGATTTTAAATAAAAAAGTAAGCTTACAAATTTTTCTTTGTTTATTTTTTGTATATGCCCAGCTTTGGTGAAGCATACATTGGGATTCAGTTGTCCTTTTTGTCCAAATGATCCAATTAAATTTCCATATATTCCTGACTAAAGGTTTCAACCATGACACTTCACAGAAGTAGTCCTGACAATTTTCTTGAGAGACCAGATTACCGATAAGGTCGAGGCTAACATCACGATCACATAAAATGTAGAAGAGGTCTACACCATGCTATCCATCAGACTCCCACAATGATGTTGGCAGGCATACTTTGCACTATTTGGGGTAATCTGGGATATTTTAACATCAACTACTGTATGCCAGGAAATTTCGGTCAAGTCAAACTTTCTACCTTCGCTAGTAAAATCCATATTCGCCCAGTTTTAATTTTGTTCTTCACATTTAATTACTATGTTTATTATGCCATTAACTTGTATTCGCTGTAATGATAAATTCGCCCTCAATACAGAGGGCAAAAAGGGTGGAAGTTAAACTGCAGCAAAATTGTTGTGGTATACAATAGATGCAACACTGAGCACAGGTTAATAGATACCTCTACTGACTTTGTATTTCTGATGAAAACATCCTTAATAGCAATCACTGGTGAATGTATATTATGTGGCAACAATTGATTTGAAAAGACAAGTTATCCAGAGATATTCTTCCCCTATTGAGGCACAGTGATACCTAAATATTACAGGTGAAGGATTCCTCGATTTAATCTATATTTTATGAATCTCTTTCTTTTTTCATTGAATTTTCCTGGAGCCAATTATTGCGCCACTGAAATGAATTTGGACATCTATTTTGTTTTAATGTCACCTTTTATGCTGTGTTGTAATGGGCTTTATCATTATATCGAGGGAGATGTATGGAGGTATTATTTTTCTATATAAAGGGGAGAGAAGGCTTTGAAATATGTTGGTGATCATTGAGTTGGCAAAGCAAAGGTTATATAAAGATTTTTGTAAACCAGCAAGAAAATGTCGAGACTATGGCCCCATCTTTATGCTCAGTAAATCTGTGAGTGCAACACACCTTCATATACTAACCTGTTACAGGAAGTACATTAAATTTGCACGAAAATACCTCGGAACAATGGATGGGAAACCGTTATTATGGATGGATGCACAACATGAATATTATACATGACCGTCTTAAAGTGGAGATTAACTGATAAAAGTTAGTGTGTATGTGTGTATACAGAGTATCTCAAATAAGTTTCAATTGAAAGAGATTTTAACGTGGCTGCCCTAGTATCATTGTCACATTCCAGAAATATTTATCATCAGGTTTTAACTGGCAGGAGAAAAAAAATTGTCATGCAACCAGGAGGAGAACCCTACAAACCCTATGTCAGCAGTATGGAGCACTGGTCACATGGTCCTTCAGTCTGTCACATGTCATTGTCAAAGTCCTGACACCCTTCATTGGTTGATAAAGGGTTCACAGTAATACGACCCAAAGCTTCAGGTTATTTATAATTGATGTCTGAAATGTAAAAGACATACACTTGGAGCTTATATAGCAAATGAAATGGAAACTATTAAACATCTAAGCAGGAAAAGCAAAAGAAAACATCTGGTGGAAAAATGTTAGAAATAAGGAAGTTACTGAGTCAGAGTGTATAGTATATACACACTTTAAGGTCATCTTTTTGAAAAATATATAGCACTGCATGCCAGCCTTGGTTATTCATAAGATTATGTTTAAAGTTTGTTTATTTTTTTTACAAATTTGACACCTGTGACCTTGAAAGTAGGTCAAGGCAATTTATTTGAGGAAACTTTATAGCACTCATCCCAGGTACTTACTAGTCATGCAGATATTATTACCCTTGGACTCTTGGTAATTCAGAAGAAGTTAATCAACACATTTGACCTTGAAAAAAAGTCAGGGTAATTCATTTGGGAAACGTAAGCACTCCATCCATGTTTGCTAACTATCATCACCCTTGGCTTTCTGATTATTGAGAGGAAGTTTTTTTAAATTTATTAAAAACATCTGATCCTAATTTCAAAGTAGGTCAAGGTCATCCATTTGAGGAAAATTTATAACACTTCATCCAAACAGGCAGCTGGTCAAATATCACTATGGGCCATTTGGTCATTCAAAAGAAGTTATTTGAAGACAAACATATTTGACCCCTGTGATATTGAACATGGGTCAAGGTCATTTATTTGAGAATAAATCTAAGCTTGATACCTGCAAAATATTATAACCCTAGGCCTTTTGGTTATTAAAAAAATAGTTGTTAGAGGTTTAAACATATTGACCTCAATAGAAGTCAAGGCCATTTATTTCATGTTTAAGTTTGTAGCACTCCATCATTCCAGTCATTTAAATTAAATTTTATTTTTACATTTTTGACCCATGTGACCTTGAAAGTAGGTCAAGGTCCTATATTTGAAGAAAATTTGAAAAAAGCACTCAATCCCAGGTATCTAATTGTAACATATCCTTGGTACCTAATGGTAAAATATAATCACCCTGGACCTCTTAGTTATTCAGATGAAGTAATTTAAAAGGATTTTACATATTTGACAGTAGGTCAAGGTTATTTATTTGAGGAAACATTATAACACTCGATCCCAGGTACCTACAGGGCAAATATTATCACCCTTGGCCTTGTGGATATTCATCAGAAGTTGTTTAAATGATTTTACATATTAAATCCCTGAAACTTTGAGAAAGTAGATTGAGGTGCTTTATTTGAGCAAATAACTTCTCTCTTGGCATTTTGGTTATTAAGAAGCAACTTTTCATTTTTTTTTCTACATATTTGACCCCTAAGACCTTAAATATAAGTCAAGGTCATTTGTTTGAGGAAACTTTATAGCACTCCATCAGCATGCCATGTACGCTATTGTCATATATCATTAGCCTGGGCCTTTTGATTATTCAGAAGTTGTTTAAAGGGTTTTACATATTTGACCCCTGTGACCATGAAAGTTGGTCAAGGTCATTTACTTTCATATTACTCCATCTCTGGTACCTAATGATAAAATATAATCACCCCATGCCTCGTGGTTATAAACAAGTCATTTAAAGGATTTTATATATTTGACCCTTGTGACCTTGAATATTCCGTCTTTGAGTTATCTTCTCTTGTGAGTAGGTATTGATTGTTACGTCATTGGTTTGTGTGAGAATATTACATCGTTTTCTCAAAAACTGATGACGTTACTCTCACAAACCAATGACGTAACAATCAATACCTGCTCACAAGAGAAGATAACTCTGCAATACGAAAAGACAGAATAGGTCGAGGTCATTTACTTGAGGAAACTACATACCATTCCTACTGGCCAAATATCATGGCCGTAGTGTTTTTTTTGTATTCAGAAAGAAGTTATTCAAAGAAAACAGTTGACTGATGGCAGACGCTGCACCATACCATAATTCATACAAGCTTGAAATAAGGCATCCAGCTCTTCACAGTATTACAACCTAATGCAGGTGAGGTAAGAAAGGTTAAAAGTCACAGAGCAGTAACAAAATAGTGTGTAGATAGTCAGACAGACACGATGATGCCATAATCTGACCTGTGAAAGTGAGCTTGTATGTCATGTACAACAAAGCAATAACAAATCAAATAAGATTTGGATGATTAATTTATTAATGTCATTCACCTTGTAACACACAATTCATTATCATACATAATTAATGTTTCCGTTTTCGATTTACATTAATAAATAATTTAATTTTGCCTATCTCCCAAATAATATTTGTTTTGGTATATATCGTATATACTGGTACCTAAAAAGAAAAACAACTGATGACGGAACTACTTTTTACACTTCAGAATGCAAAATTACAACACAGCTTTTTTTTAGCGCAATTGTTTAGTTTACGTAAACATTAAATAAATCTTTAACTGTGCATTTACAACGTGTTTGTCTACTTTTTTTAAATTAAATTATAAAGAATGCCCAAAGATTTTTTTTGGTATATACGGTATATGCCAAAAAAAATCTTGGTCATTCCTTAAATAGTCTGTTTGTGATTTGTGAAATGTGAAACTGCACATAATGTTTTCACACACGGACAAGTTTATGGCCCGAATCGCATACACCACCACCCTTATATTCTCTCTTACACCTCATTTACAAGTAATTATGTAATTCACAGTGTTTAATGTTAACAAGAGGCTCCAAGAGCATGTATCACTCACCTGGAAATGTTAGCAAAATTGAAGATGAAATAGCTAAATGTTGCTGTATATGTATTTCATGGTTAGTCGGGGGTTATATTTATATGCAATTGGACAAAATCCTGTCATTCCTACAATACTTTCCATTATTGGGCCCCGCCCCTCTGCCCCCAGGGGGTTCAGACCCACCGTTGATACAAAATTTGTTCCCCTTCACCCAAGGATGCTTTAGGCCAAATATGAAGAAGAAAGATTTTAAAGCTATTTTCTATTTTCCCTATTTTGCTCCACCCACTGTTTATACAAAACTCACAGAGTCCCCTTGGCCCAAGTATGCTCCAGACTAAATAAGGATAAAATCCCTTAATCCCTACGATAGAAGAAGAATTTTAAAGGTTTTACCTTTATTTCCCCTATTTTGCCCTGTCCCTCTGCTCCCAGGGGGGCCACACCCACCATATACATGTATACACAATTGAGTCCCCTTGGCCAAAGGATGCTCAAGACTAAATTAGAATAAAATCCCTTAATCCCTACGGTAGAAGAAGGATTTTAAAGGTTTTACCCCTACATGTATTTCGATTGTTTGGCCCCGTCCCTCTGCCCCCAGGGGTCCACACCCACCTTTTATACAAAATTGAGTCCCCTTGGCCTAAGGATGCCCCAGACCAAATTTAGTCGAAATCTACTTGGCCGTTCAGGACAAGTAGCATTTTAAAGGAAAAGTTGACGGACGGACGACGGACGACGGACGCTGCGGTATGGCATAAGCTCACCATGGTCCTTCCAGGTGAGCTAACAATGTGTAAAGAAACATGAAACAGAAATTTCACCTTCATTTAGTTAGTTACTGACATGGTAGTATAGCCATTATGTATCGTGTCAAGACAAGTTCCCGAGACAACCACTTCCAACATTTTTTCTGTAAGAAAGCAAAGCAGTGTCAATACCTGGTACCCTTGAGTGTAGTACCCCATTAATTGAAAATTCTCATCTTGGGCCCCTTTCACATATACCGTTCAACTGGGTGTCTGTTTTTAAATGTAACATTTTCAGGTATAAATCAGGACGGACCTGCAAATATTTATGCAGGCCTTGCAAGCTTTGCCAAGGCTCGCCTTAAAGCAGCATCAGATACTAGGTCCAACTCTATTTCATAAACGAACGACTCTGGTCCACCTGTTTCAACCGTTTGGATAGCAATAAACGAATGCGGCCCAGGTGTCTTCCGACTTTTTAACACCGGCATAGTCTGAGTAGCGTTTACGAATGTTTCACCCATCTCCAGATGTCTATTCCAGGTGTCAAATTTACATCAGGGTGCACAATCTCAAACACATCGTCACATTAATTTGTCTTTTCTAGCTGTCAATATTGGTATTTGAAAACCTAGATCTAGTAACTGGTGTACCCATTATCCAGAGATAAAAAGCCAGATTAAATCAAAATGATGTCTCCAACAGCTGTTCCACTATCATGCTGACACTTCTGCGGCCTGTGAGCTAGATAGAGATGTGGTGTCCGGGTTGAGATTGATAAGTCTGTTACTTGACTCGGCCAGCTCTGTGATAGATACACGGCCATGTTGTTTAATGTATTTAGCGATTGTCTGTAGCTCCTCAACAGTGATGTAAATAAATTTACCCCGGTCATCGATCACACCAGTGAGTCGCCCCTCTGCCACCAGGTCCTGGACACGGTCAATGGCATCCTTGGGGGAAAATAAAATATAAAAAATCACATTTGTAGCCAGAAATCTTCAAAAAAAGTTAACTTCCAGTTATCATGTTATGTAGTAGAAATGATATTGGCAATTGAGGTTTCTTTTTAATGACTTGATATGTATATCAATGTGATTTGTTATGGATGAATTTGGTGATGTGTAATCCAAATATATAACTTACAAACCTGATTACTGGTTATATCATATCTATTTTGTAGACGTTCCAGAGCAAAGCTTGTTTGGTTGTTTGTGTTTTACGTCCTATTAACAACTATGGCCATTTAAGGACGTACCAGGTTTTGGTGGTGGAGGAAAGCCAGACTTCCCGGAGAAAAAACACCGACCTACGACAAGTACCTGGCGACTGCTCCACATAGGTCTCGAACCCGCAACCCAGTGGTGGAAAGCTAGTGGTAGCAGAATGACAGACGCCTTAACCACTTGGCCACCGCGGTCCCTTATAACAAAGCTATTGCACCACTGACTATGGGTTTTCATAAGAATACTACAGAGTATCTTTACATCTACAAGGCTATTCAAAAGAAGAAAGGGAACTCTTACAAGATTTGTTGGTGCCATTATACTCTGTCAGTGCTACAAGATATTCTATGGAATAGATAGCAACAACTCATGACATCTGTAAACCAAAAGGATATTGATACTGAAACATGCAACTACTTTTGACAAAACATCTGAAAATGGGACAAAATGATATGCATACCGGTAGCAGCATTTTGGGTAAGTAAAGTGCTAATGACATGACTTGCCTTTGTTAATCACATAAATTTCTACATATCAGATATAAATGAAAAAACAAGATTCTATACAGTTAAGGGGATGTTCCACACTTTCATTTTTAATACTGCTTTTAAGATATCATTCTCCTTAAACACAGATCAACCTCAATTTCAATAGCTTGATTCAGTAGATGGAACATTAACATTAGATCGTCTTCATGGCTAATGAATATGAAAGTGGTTCTTTCTTTTACCCATTTCAAATACCATTTCCTTTGAGAAAAATAATAATATATTAAATTTACCTGTGTCCTTATTTTAAAGTGTGAAGCCAAGTCTTCAAGCATTACAACTTTTGAAGTCTGCAACAAAGAGAAACAATTTTTATCTTCAGCAAATGGCAAGTTACTATCTTTTGATATTTTTGATACATACCCTGTACATAATGCTACATTTTCATTCCCGAGTTTTCAAAAATTGAATTTAGAGACACAAATTTTAAAGATTCTTCATAATGTTTTAAGAATTTTTTTCCCCTCTATAGTAAATAACAATTAGCTTAGATCAAAATTCTGTTTCTTCAGGTGGTAATATTCACTTTACAGAATATGTGCTTTGATTTTCCAATACATATTAATTGAAATGTACCGTAAAATATTTTTCATCCTTTTTGTCTATTTATCAAAACCAAACCTCTTACCTTTATGTGTTCTATGAACTCCTGTAGTAGTGACTGTGACTGCAGTAAAGAAAGGAGAAAGACATCAGTTGTGTATAAAACAGTAATAAAACTGTAAAGCTAAGGATGTATGCTACCTTTTTGAGATATGCATCTCCTTAAAGAGTTCCACACAAAATAAATCTTTGATGAAGGTTAATTTTGATTTAAGTTAAGGATGTATGCTACCTTTTCGTGACATGTTTCTCCTTCACAAGAGAGTTACACACACATAAAATATCTTTGATAAAGGTTAATTTTGATTTAAGTTAAGGATGTATGCTACCTTTTTGTGACATTTTTTGTTTTGTTTCTCCTTCACAAGAGAGTTACACACACATAAAATATCTTTGATGAAGGTTAATTTTGATTTGATGATGAACTTGAACGTCTTTATAATCAGGTAACCCTATATCAAAAGATCTAAAGGGAGATAATTTTAACAAAAACAAATCATTGGTTACAATTTGTAAGATAGCATTTCACCTCCAGTGAACTGAACAAAACAAGTATTGTAATTTCATTGTTTATAAATTTTCTTCTGCCTTAATAAACTGGTGTACTATAAGTTATATAATAAGGATACCAGATTTTATAAAAGTAATACCGATTTCCTAAATCCTTTACCAAAAAGTATGTACAATCATCTGTTTGTGTATGTATGTCCTTTGTGGTATTACCAAAATCTTGAAACACTACATATTACTTGTCTTTACAATGCTGACTTTGAATTGAGAACATGACATATTCAGGAAACATTAAACTTTGTTGATGTGTCAACTGAATACAAAAGAGAGTGAATTGCTGAATATGATTCTTTTTTCCCTCTTTTTAACTACTTATAGATTTTCTACACAATGACATTCATAACAAACAAGAGATCCTAGAAGGATCTTGGCGACCCACAATCGAAGGATCGTTGTCAGATCTTTTTACTTTCTTTGTTCTTCATTTTCTTAAGTTACTTTTATCAATTCCCATGTTGGAAATCCTAAACAGGATCCTTGTACATTATCTTTAAAACCTTCACATGTCATATGTTATTTGCCACTATGAGGAATGCTACTTCATGTATATATGATATACCATAAGAATTGCATAACTATATTTATCACATAATGGTCTGTGTTATCCAGTGAATATACCCATGTTTTATTTTTTTGCGTATTAACCCATGTGACCTATCATATGACCTATCAGCCCTGTGATTGGTTGTAAGTCACAATTGTTTCAATTGTAACGTCTCGCCTAGGACAAGTACATGACGTCACAGACTTACGCACTGGAGTCAAAATGGCGGCTTTTTACATTTCAAGGTTGCATGAAAATTGCCGTTTTCCACGAATAAATGCCCCAAATCTTGATTAGGTGATAAAAAGGATCTTACACACGTTTTCATTTCATATGAAATTTTTACAAATTGTCACAATTTTTCATTTAAGCTCACCAGAGGCTCGCTCAATTGAAAAATTCTTTGACTAGTTCCATTAATCTCATATGAAGTGGAAACTCATGTAAGATCCTCTATGTAAAATGCTAAACACTTGTAATTCTTACATAATAAGAAGTGCTGTCAATAAGGGATGAATTCTCATTAGGGCCAGGGCTATTTTTAACAAGGGTATCGATGGGAACATACATATAAAATTTGAAAAAGATCCCTTCACTACTTTCTAAGAAATAGCGATAACAAACCATAACTGTCAAAATCTAAGATGGTCACTTTATCTATAAAGTACCTAAAGGAGACATAGTAAAGTCTTGCTACATTTTGTGAAAAGCTGGGCGTTGTTCAAAGCCTGTTCAGCTTAACAAGTCAAAACTGTATTTTTAAAAAAAATATGATTTCCAGGACACTTACATTGAGGTCAGCCTCAAGGTCGGCTTCTCCTTCATCTTCAACAATAAAACTCTCCTTTATCTTTAGATATTCCTCGTGCTCTCTCCTTTCTTCTTCTTCCTTCAGCAGCTTCTCCTCTTCTTCCTTTCAATATGACATGTTTACGGTTATCACATTTTCTTAGTAGTTGCAACATTGCAATTTACAGCTATAATATAATAGCAAGTACACTTAATAACATATACTAGTTTTTTTCTTTAGGGGGGGGATTTGTGTTGTAAACTTCCATTTTTTTCCCTACAACTACACATTTACATATTTAATCAATAACATAAATCGATAAATGTATAACAAGTAAACATGACTATAAAATCTCCCACGGATTTCCATATTAAATCAATAACATATATATGTATAACAAGCTACCATGACTTAATCTTCTACGGATTTCCATATTTAATCAATAACATATAAATGTATAACAAGCTACCATGACTAAATCTCCTACGGATTTCCATATTTAATCGATAACATATAAATGTATAACAAGCTACCATGACTAAATTTCCTACGGATTTCCATATTTGATCAATAACATATATATGTATAACAAGCTACCATGACTAAATCTCCTACGGATTTCCATATTTAATCGATAACATATAAATGTATAACAAGCTACCATGACTAAATCTCCTACGGATTTCCATATTTGATCAATAACATATAAATGTATAACAAGCTACCATGACTAAATCTCCTACGGATTTCCATATTTAATCAATAACATATAAATGTATAACAAGCTACCATGACTAAATCTCCTACGGATTTCCATATTTAATCAATAACATATAAATGTATAACAAGCTACCATGACTAAATCTTCAACAGATTTCCATATTTAATCAATAACATATATATGTATAACAAGCTACCATGACTAAATCTCCCACGGATCTCCAATGAATTCATGGACACCCTACCCACCCTAGTACTTTTTAGTGCCTACCCTTGACTCTCTCAGTAAATTTTCAAAGAAGTACTGTTTAAGTCAAGATCACTCTTAAACCATACAACATTTTTTTTGTTTAAATATAAATTGTCCAACATATTACAGGAAAAAAATAAAAAAATTTGTTTGGTCTTTTGTCAGAAAGTGTATGAATAGAATCTGAGGTAAAATGTGTTTTTGTTTATTTTCATTTTCCTGTAAAATGTGTTTGTTTCATATATTTTAAGTCCAATCCACATAATCTTTCATTTTAAACAGATCATGAAAAATGATAAATGATCCTGAAACTTCAATTTTCAAAAGAGTTGGTTACCTTTATTTTGTCCTCAGCCTTTTGTCTATCTTCCTCTTCCTTTCTTTGTTTCTCCAGAAGCTTTTCTCTTTTCTTTTTTTCCTCTCTCTCTTCTTCCATCATCTGTAAATCAAAGGGTTGCTTTCCTCATCAGAGTTACATATTATCATCTATATTAGTCCTTTCCTAGCCAACTTTTCTTGGGAGAGAAATCAAGATCTAACTAAAGGTGATTGTGATAGTTCACACGAGACCTTGTCTTAATTGCAATAAAATCTATTTACAATTGATAACACAATAAGGTAAAATAGACATATATATTTAACGATCCCAGGTGTCCCATTGCACTGTGTTTTTTCTTACATACAGTACCCCCCTTAACTTCCATTTAGGTATAACTAGCACAATATGGCCAGGACACTTCCAATGAACAGGTAGCTCAATCTGTTAGCGCGATCGTATTACGGTCTGATGTCCAGGGTTCAAATCCGGCTCTAGCCCCACTCAGTCTTACACTCAGACACTGTTGTTGATTTTATTTTGTTTATTTCATAGTTATGATTTCGATCAGTCCCACAAGGTATGCTGTTCTTTTCAGTAGTTATTTATCAAAGCTATGGTAAAGCCTGAGAAAACAGCTTTTCAATAATTTGTTACAGTTTTAGGCAGTGGTTTGGGGATCCCACATTATTTTTTCTACAATGGTTAAATTCACTAAATTGAAATTAAAACAAAAATCAAGAATGAACAGAATTCTGCTGAATGTTGAATTCAAGATCATGGTACTAGAAATGGGTTTTACGTCTGATTAAAAAATATTTTAAGTTCCAACTTAACTAACTAACCCCTTTCACCACTGTAGACCATTATGAACTGATCCATATCAATGCATGGTAGAGTTTACTGAAGTTACATAGGGGTGAAAGGATTAATACAGCAAAACCAATGCATAAATAGATTAAACCTTGTAGTAGAATTCTTTACCAGTCTCTGCTCCTTCCTCTCTGCCTTAGCTTGTTGTTTAGCTTCCCACTTCTTGCCCTTTCCAGCTGGTAAAACATCTTCAAATTTGAATGTACCATCTTCTCCATCTACATCCAAATCGGAATCATCACCCTCACCATCTACAACAAATACGCTATTTTTCAATATTCTGTGAAATGCCTTATAATTAATATACATAACATGAATTCTGTCAGACCAGTCGAAGAGAGATTTATTCCCTATCAGACATTTGGTTTTTGTTTGTGTTTTTATACTCCCTATTTTAGGATTAACAGCTATGGTCATTTAAGAATATGCAAGGTTTTAGTGGGTGGAGGAAAACTAAGTACCCTGAAAAAACCCACCAACCACAGGTCAGTACCTGGGGAAGCCTTGTGTAGGCCACAAACCCACAACCTAGTTTTGGAGGGCTAGCATATATGTCATGTATGAGAAAAGATTCCATTGATCATTTTTTCAGTAAACAGAAGTGTTACTGGGTGGTCGGATGGCTAAGTGGATAACACAGTCGCCTTCCACCAAAGCGGCCGGGGTTCGATTCCCCGATCAGACATGAAAAGGTATAGGGTCACCTGCCCGACTATGTGTTTTTTTTCCAGGTACTGAGCTTATCAAATATTACCATTAATAATGACTTTGCATTTTATGATATCATTTCACAATTAACAGCTTTTTCCATTGATCTATAGGTTAAAAGTTACCGTAACAAATTGCTCAGACAGATGCCATTCTTAAAATTTCACAACATAATATAAATGTTTGGTCAAACCCTGCTAAAAAAACAAAAAGAAGAACAAGAGAGTCTCAACTAAGACCGTTACCAGAGTCGTCATTGCGTCGCCGTTGCATCCTCCCACGTCTGGGAGCTCGACGTCGCACTCCACCAGGGACATTATCAACTTCCTGCCGAACAGCACCTGGCCTTGGACCTTGCTGCTCATTCTTATTATCTATCAAAATTTAGAAGTTGGATTAATCCTCAGTTCACCACAACATAGAGATTTTATTCACATTATCAAACAGTTCTTGGACTCTGAAAGCAGTAAAGTGAACCTTGAATTTCCAAACACCTGGATATTATTAATGACATTTACATGACCCTGTAATAAGGGGCCTAAATGTGAGGTCACAGAGGTCAAGGCTACACAATTGTCATGCAAGTTGCTGTATTTATTAAGGCGTATCATTGCATTTCCCTAGTTGCACCATTTAGTCCACCGACTTTAATGAAAACAAAAATTAACCAGCCAGACCGTGATACGTATTATTGTAAGCCAAAAAACCCTGATGACATGGCATAGAAAAAATAAAAATATTAACAAAATTTCCTTTATTTTGGCCTCAATTTTATTTTTCTTTGTAATGTTACTCTTTTATACTAAAAAACAGTTTTTAAGGAAATAGAGGGACAAAACTGCTTAGTCGTTAGATCAATAACCTTACAATGTTACAGAGACAGGTTTAATACGCCAAGAACTGTTCATGATATACAGTTTACTTTTCCTGTGGGTTTCTTTATATACATAGAGTACTCTAGATCTGTGTGTAAGCTAAAATCAACAGACAACACAGTGAACACTATTATAGTGTCTATAACAGTATGGCAGACACTGATATCATAAGTACATGACGACACTGTTTTGTTTACCTTTTTTCTTTGTCTTCAAAATGATAGATATAATGACAAGAGCTATAGCTATCACAGCAATTACAGAAATATACACAGTAAACGGATCCACTGGTGCCATTCTGTTTTTGTCGACGTATTATTGCAACATATGGCTGTTATTTACCGGAAATCAACATTGACTGTATAATCTAAGAGTTGCGTACGGAATCCGGAAATTCGTCCATAGGGAGTTCAAATGTACGTCAAGAAGTAATTATACTGTTTGGGATATTTTGAGTTTTAGTTTACTACAGTTAATTTATCATTTTTTTGTGTGATATTTTTCATCATAGAGTCTACTACATTTTATGACATTTGACTTTTTTCATTACTCAAAATAGCTTATATGTGATATGTGTGATGTGAGACACTGGAACTATAATGTAGCTGTATGTTGCCTCGCAGGATGAACCATTACTCTTGTTTTACCACAATTAAGTACCTAAAATTGTCTAATGTGATACTCATTCTTTGTTGAATTATGTACAGCAAAAATCGTTGTTTATTGGACCCTTCACAGGTTTCAACTTTTTTTTTTTTTTCTCAATATAGCTACAGGCTTTGTCAGATTTAAAGACACTAAGCTTTCAATGTGCTTGTGGTATATATGTTCATATGTTTGTCTTTTTAACATTTGCCCAAAATTAGGTCTACGAGGTTTCCAAATGACATAGGATTTTTTCTCCAGCTGATTGCCCAATTTCTACTTCAAATGAAATTTTAAATAAGACATCTATACAATATAATGAATTCACCGGTAATGTAGAAAGCTCTAAAATTTAGTTTTAATGAAAAACTATTTCACGTTTTCAGTAGTGAGCTGGTATCTCAGCGAAAGGCTTCCTCCAGACCAAAGTGCAGTGACGAACATGATTCTTTAAAGCGAGCGCTTCACTATAAACATTTCTGCAATTCAGTTTATGGAATCGTCCATGTATATAAATAATTACATTGTCTCATTATTAAGATAGCATCCCATCTTAACTGAATTTAAGGTGGAGGCGGTAAGAAAACAGAAAATAAGTAAAATTAACGGATTATGCTCCCCGAAAATGTCACCGAGACTGGAATAAAGTGTGCGTTTGCAGGCATGAAAGATTGCATACTGGCTGGTATTTGTTACACATCTTGAACTGATCATACCTGGCACCATTCCTATCTCTGAAATGCCTTAACTGTTTAAAGCGAAAGTACTCCAGTGATTCTAGATTTATTTACATTTGACCTTTGGCGATACACAAGTTAAGACTAGAACAAACAATTTGACCTCTGAATTTACTGAGACCTTGACCTTGGACATACGGACCTCAAAACACAACGCCTTAACATTCTTCATAGATCCGTAAAATTTCATCGAACTTTATTCAGCGAGTCAAAACTTATTACTAGGAAAATTAACTCGATCTTTGACCTCAATGTTGCCTTGACCTTAGGTGTATAGACCCCATGAACAATGGTATGCGACACACTGACTTTCTATGTTCAATGTAACCTTAACCTTGACCATACAAGCTACAGCTTCATATCAAATATAAGTTTAACCGAAATGCGTTAATACCGTACGTACGCTTGTTTATTTTAAATCCTACAATACGTATATTAAGACTCTAAAACTGTACTTTCAAACGCAAACAGTCTCTAACGATGATGATATACAAGGCGGAGAGGAGAAGCGTCATAGTGACGCTGACCTTTAAGCGTTCGTTATCAAATGAATGCAAATTTCTTCAATAATTATTTAGAAATCTGCATCAGAAATGCCAATATAGCTTGATGAATGTAACCTGAATTTGGTAGGGTTGTATAATGGCAGTGCCAATAAATGATAAATGATTTAAAGGGGCTGATCGGGGAAAAAATGTCATATTTGCTAAAATGGCATACATACGTTTAAAATACCTACTTATGAAATATACCGATACAAATTTTGCTGAAATTCACTCCCTAAGAGTAAAAATTATAATTATATTAAAGAAATCCTAAATCGTCACCTGACAGTCTAAAACTCTCAATTGACCCAGATCAGTGATGTTACTTTACCGCAAGCGCGTCATCAACAAGGCCAAATGTAAACATCGCGGCGAAAGTAAAAGATGCATGCAAAAGTCATGACAGGCACGAGGTATCAATACCGTTATATGTAACAACAACATATATAGGTTGGAATACTACACTTGCATCATACATGACCTTTGAAAACAATTATTTACGTATAGTATTGCTGTCTTGTCCGCTAGTTGAGTCCGACATGGCACATTTACCGAGACCTTGACCTTGGACATACGGACCACAAAATGACACGCGACACAACGCCTTACCATTCTTCATAGATCCGTAAAATGTCATCGAACTTTATTCAGCGAGTCAGAACTTATGACTAGGAAAATGAATTTGATCTTTGACCTCAATGTTGCCTTGACCTTAGGTGTATAGACCCCATGGAAAATGGTATGCGACACACTGCCTTTCCATGTTCAATGTGACCTTAACCTTGGGTGTTTGGACCCAATAGTTGTATGCAACACAACGCCTTACCATATCCGGTATATAATGTATCCAAAGATTTAATTGAGGAATTTTCAGAGAGTCCAAAGTTATGTTTTTGAACTTAGACCTCAGTGTAACCTTGACCATACAAGCTACAGCTTCATATCACATATAGTAAGTTTAACCGAATTGCGTTAAGGCCCTGTCACACTATAGCGTTTTGTTGGACGTTTGGTTGCGTTTTGAAAAATTGGAGAAACGTCGGGGAACGTCGACGTTCTTCAAATTAAGTTTCTAGGTCAACGTTGTTATAACGTTCTTGTAACGCTTATGTAACGCTCAGCCAACGTTCACTCAGCGTCAGGCGACATTTGTGGTCGAAAATAGCAGCAAAACCTAGCGTTCCATTGCGTTCTCAGCGCTTTGATAGCGTTCTCATAGCGTCCACATCGACAGACGTTAGGAAGACGTTGAAAGAGCGTTACATGAGCGTTAATAACGCTCGGCGAACGCTGACGAACGCTGAGAAACGTTGGCGACACGCTGGACAGACGTTCGACGGACGTTACACTGGCGTTACGCAAGCGTTACCCAAGCGCTAACCACGCGCTGGACACTCGACCCTGATGGGCCGGCGTCCAGAGAACGTCCTGACTTTCGAGTAACGTTCCTCTAACGCGTAAGTAGCGTTTTGATAGAACGTCGTGAATTTTTGTGCACACCCAAAAATATTTCTGACCCTCAGCGTTCGCCGACGTCCCTCGACGTTCCCCAACGTTTGCCGACGCTCGTCTAACTTTCTTGTAACTTGTTTCTAACGTTCTCGACGTTCCTCTGCGTTTCGCAACACGTTACTCGAACGCTGGTGAGAACGTCGTAATGTGACAGGGCCATTAATACCGTACGTACGCTTGTTTTTTTAAAATCCTACAATACGTATATTAAGACTCTAAAAACTGTACTTTCAAACGCAAACAGTCTCTAACGATGATGTCATGTTATACAAGGCGGAGAGGAGAAGCGTCATAGTGACGCTGACCTTTAAGCGTTCGTTATCAAATGAATGCAAATTTCTTGAATAATTATTTTGAAATCTGCATCAGAAATGCCAATATAGCTTGATGAATGTAACCTGAATTTGGTAGGGTTGTATACTGGCAGTGCCAAACAATGATAAATGACTTAACATATATATTTTGAAGATTATTTTTTATCTGGAACACGAGGATCAATACAGGGTTAATACTTTCCGAGAAATCTGTTTTTTTTCCGAATTAGTCTTGTTTATTGCATTTTGGATGTTTCTCTTTACAATATGTACGTGTGAATCCGACGGATTTGGTGGAATGACTTTTCGTGAGTCCAAGCGTGCTAGAAAGGTCTGCTGAGTATATTTACCAATTAAAGTGACATTACAAGACAACATCCTCAGTAATAAAGCACAACAAAAAAAACCAATGTATGAGATAATTCAACAATTTAATATAACAATATAAGTTAAGATCGACAGATTAGGAAGAAAAAGCTTAGAAATAATAAAAAAAGATTCTCATAAATCTTTCCATATATAAGTTATCTCTCTTTTCTCCCTCATTCCTTTTCTCTCATTCTTACTGTCTTTCTTCTCTTCATCTCCTCTCACCCTGTTTTCTTCCATCCATCTTTCCTCATTCTGTCCGTTTCTCTCCCTCTTCTCATTCTATTTGTTTCTCTGTTTTCATTCCCTGTTTCCCTCTTTTTCTCTCCCTATCAATGTTTTTTTCCTCTTTCTCTCTCTCCCATTCTGCTTTCTCGGCATTCATTTCTACATTCTTTACATACATTGACATTTGTATACACTTTGTTCATATACGTAATACTATATATAATATATTAAATAAATACATATACAACTACACTTTTATATATTAACTATATACATATATGTACATATATATATATACATTGTACACGAGTTTACATTTGATTGTGTATACATGTTACAGTACACTTTTGATGGAGAGAAGAGATAACTTGTTTGAAGGAATGAGAATAGATGAATGGTGTAGAGAAATAAAAGTCTACCCAATTTAAACTGTAGCTATAAAAAGACAACACCGCATTTCAATTCCACAGTACCCAACAATGGAAACAACAATAATTTCCTGGCAGAAATAACAATTTTCGGTTACTGCATTAATTATTTCAGGCTTTTCAATCGTTCAAAGGAAATTTTGAAAATAAAATAAAAAACAATAAAACACAAATTTGAATATATTTTGGTAATTTTATATAGAAATGGTGGGAGAATATAATCATTTTATATATAAAATAATCTGTATTTCTTCGTGTCAGTTGAGTTCGGGTTGGATTGCTATGCTCCGGAAAAAATGAATATTTACAATTAATCTTTTACATAGGTACAACTACGCCGCATACACACACATATACAGCTATTTAACAATTTCATAAATAGAAAAATAAATAGTCACACATTATGTACACGACACACGCACATAGATAGCACTTATAACATCAACATTTTCAAATTAAATGAATTGTTGATAATAGTTCAGTGGAAAATATCATGATCCATTTCAGAAAGTTTTAGTCCAGTTTTAAATAATTCACTACCCGTTTTAACGATTCCCTCTCTTTTGAACATTCACTGA